CCAAATGATCATGTTGTGAAGTCCTCGTCCATGAGGAATATGACAGAGTCGGTCTTCACGGATGAGAAGAACGTATGGAAAACGGCTGTGTCTGGTCTGAGGACAATCAATGCCGAGCCGTGGATGAAGATAATACCCAATGCCAAGACTCTGACCCAGATGAAAACATGGACGTATAAAGTTCCTGATTATAAACAAGGGAAGTGGGGAGCCCCGACCTTTGTGTGCGACAGCCGTGTGATGGAGTGGACCCTGAAGTACACCATCCCGATATTTGGGCCCCGTGAGGGTGGAAGTAGCGTAGAGTTCAGGTAAGTAGAGCCCAACTCTGTATGTTTATTAATACCGAAATCGTCAAAATTTGGAAAATCGTTTCTTAATACATATACTTTCGTTGTGTTCATTGAAATTGCTACGTCCTGATTAGCTGCATTTGTCACGTGTCATTCCATTCATTTAGGGTAGACACTGGATTCATTGAGGCATGAATTGAAAAACTGACATGCAAACTGTATAAATGTAACGGATCCGGAATATGCCGAATGTCCTGTGAATGACGATAGGGGTAAGCAGAAAGGGAATTCCCTCGACTGTAATTGAGATTCCGCGGAAGTCCGCAGTGGTGAGAGAGATGTATTTGGGAAAGAATGCAATGACACGTGACCACTTCAGCTAATCAGTATGCAGGTATTACAACGAACATAACAATTCCATTATTTCCCAATGAACGAAACAATCCAGTGTCAACCTTGAAACATATGTACTCTTATCTAACGTGCTTAGCTTCTGTTGTTGCAGGGGAGCCGTATCGGTGTCGGTGTCGGTGCCAAAGTCCATGCTGCTCACTGACGTGTAGACGCAGTCAATGGAACCTTGCAAGAAATAAATCGAATTTGAATTTTTATTACGTTATTGACATTCTGTACTGAAATAGATAAGTCCATGATGAATTTATTAACACTGATATGAGACGTACCCACTGTTATTGTAAGTAACTCAGATATACTGTAAGCCATTAAAAACGCAATTGGTATTTGTTGTCCTGAAACTTACAAAAGTTCTATTGAAGATTTTTTCCTGCGATACAGAGGATGTAGGGATAAAAGGCTGTTATTCTGGCCCATTTCGAGTTCGAGTCCCGGAGCATTCCTCTCACATGAACTTTGATACTTAAAACTGAACCTGTGACATTTCTCGGAAACACAATCACATTCATGAAACACGTTGTGCACATGCATTACCTGCACCCAGGCCCTGTAAAAGCACAAGGAATTGAGGAACTCAATCACTTTGAGAAAATGCCACACTTGACACAAGACGAAAGGAATCAGGTTATCGGTATGGTCATCCACGGTGCTTCAGATGTGATGATTGCCAGGCACTTTAATGTGCATCCATCCACTGTAAGTCGACTCAGACAACGTTTTCGAGCTACCGGAAGTGTTGCTGATCGGCCGCGACCTGGTGCACCACCTGTGATAACAGCTCGATAAAACCGCAATATCCGAGTTTCACACTTGCGAAATCGGTTCCAAACAGCTGATGATTAGGCAAGGAGGACAATTGGGACAAGTCAACGTCATTTCAGCGCCCAAAAGGTGCAAGGACGCCTTGCTGCCTTGCCACAGACCATCAGAGGCTGCAGACCATCCAACAGCTGTTCCTGAGAAATGTGTGTCTTTCAATGCCCCAAAGACTGTGAGCATGTCTTGCAGCGCACGGTGGACACACACGATATTGACTGCAAGTGACCCCTCCTTTGTGTGATGTTGTTGTTGCGTCACTGATGTTGTTGTTGACTGGACATTTTCAGATGAAATTATTCACAGATGTTCACTTAAAACATATCTGCCAGTGAGGTTTATATATGTTGAAATTAGTGTGAGTAAAGGAAGTATGTATGTCAAATTGCATTTTTAATGGCTTTCAGTATATTTGATCAACTATCGAAATACTGCCATGTGGCATGCAATGTTGTACAGAGGTAGTTCTGTGGCTTGTTACCACAGACGTCTCGTCTAGAATACTGGTAGAACTCTCTGGAGGGAGAAAGGTTCCACAAAACATACATGAGAGTAAGTGAATGGTTTTAGTTTAACGACACGCTCAGCAATATTCCAGCTATATGGCGGCTGTCTGTAAATAATCCTGTCAGTGATCAACAGAATGAACACCAATCTACGCAATTAGGATACGATGCCATGTGTCAACCAGGTTAGCAAGCCTGACCCAATCCCACTAGTCGCCTCTGACGACATTTAAACCTCGATGTCGTCCAGATAGTCTCCAGACCCGAAGGACAGGACGACAAGCAGCACGAGAGATTTCATAGTTTATCGGACACGATGAAAACACATTTCTACACGCGTTTGCAAGTACTGTTATAGAGTAAAACGTGGCACCATAACCTTAGAAAACTGTAGCAAAGTCTACCTTTGAAATGATGCTTACATTCATGATAGCTTAACTAGCTTTGGTTTTGGTGAAAACAGATTGTCCCAAGTTAACACGAGCGTTAAAGAAACGATTGTTTCGATGCTGTCGGTTCACTGTTGAAGTTGATATCAAAGACAGAATGCGTTGATTGTGCAAGGATTTATATTTTGTTTAACGCCGCACTCAATCTTCTGCTATATGACGTCGGTCTGTAAATAATCCATTCTAGACCAGACAATGCAGTGATTGACATCATCAGCATCGATCTACTCAAATGGGATATGATGACACGTGTGATCAAAGTCTGCAAGCCTGACCACCCAGTCCCGTTGGTCGCCTTTTACGACAAGCGTGAGTTGCTGGAGAAGAGTGGTCGACTTCAGAATCCCATACTTGTAAAAGGATTCCTGTGGGATCTGTTGGTCAGGCTCGCTGACTTGGTTGCTGCATGTCATTGTGTCCAAATTGCTCAGATTGATGCTCGGTTGTCTGATCCCCGACTCGAATATTGACAGACCGAATCACGTAGCTGAAATACTATGGCGTTAAACAACAATAAGACACAATTTCTGGTGAACCGTCCTCAGTCATCAGACTACGTAATACTGATCAGGGACAGGCAGAGAGCTGCTTTCTCGATTAAAAACACGTGACGTCACAACTAAAGCAGTACTAGTCACGGTATCATGACGTCACACGATGTAGTTGGATCTGCGTGTCACGTGACGTTATTGTTGTCTACCTGCCTAGATACACAGCCGCATTCAACTCGATCTCGTTATTTTGTCAGTCTATATTTCCCCTACGATGCCAGGACAAACAATACAGGTCGTGTTTCAACTCAACAACCTGCCTCCAGAGATAGATGCCCTGATTAGAGCCGATAGTTGTGTTAAAATCGGAGTTCTGGGTTCGATCCCCGAACTTGGCTCATGGAACATCCCGCAGATGCTGACTGCCGGGCCGTCGGAGACGTGAGGAAGGTGAAGAGTTATCTGCCCATATCGGCCACCTTCAAGTGGCCATGGCTGGTGACAACGCATGATGCACAGGTTTTGTACTGGGACCCAGCAAGAAGCAGATAGTGAGTAGTTAGTTTGAGTGAGTGAGTGAGTTTGGTTTTACGCCGCTTTTAGCAATATTCCAGCAATATCACGGTGGGGAATCGAACCCGGGTCTTCGGCGTGACGAGCGAACGCCTTAACCACTAGGCTACCTCACCGCCCCCAGTAGTTAGTTTGAACCATAAGCATCGAGTACATGTGATTTGTTATTTGATAAGCTGAGTATACTATGTCAGCTCTGCTCCTCCTGCAGCTGCATGTCGTATAGTATTTTGCTTATTCAGGTTTTGAAACCCTTTGTATAGACATTCATGCACCATTTGTCCACGAAGCTGTGGACGACTGTGTGTTTGAAACATTTATGTGTCGTTTAACGCCGCACTCAGCATTTCTTCAGCCATATTACGGTAGTCTGTTAATAATCAAATCGGGACCAAACAATCACATGATTGACACCATGAACATCGGATCTTGACAGGTGTTTGATGTCAGTCATGTGGATTATTTTCACGATACGCTGTAATGGGTTCATGTCTGAAGAATTACCTTGTCACGGTTGTTCCCCTCGCAAGTACATGTTGATACAGCATAACATCATTACATCCTTTACACGCCCGAGTACAGACATAGATTTGATTTACTCCCTCAATGTAAAGTATTTTGCCTATAGTGTGTCATTCTGGGATAATTATGTAACAGTTTATACTTCATCTCCCTAAAAGGCAGTTCGACTTTATCTCACATAATTAATAACATTAACCAGTCCCAATCAGAAACCAGCGTTCAGTTGTGCAATCACACCAACTTCATATAGAGTATATTGTACGACACACCCATTCGTACAGGCTCAATTCTGATTAGATTATATTTAAGTCTGTCTGTTGCAGGACAAGTCTGAACTTCTTCAGCGGCACCATGAAGGTCCGATGGGGTTTTAAACACACCCAGTTCATCTCCCGCATATGCCGAGCTGACATCCGCACCAACTACCAGTGTCAGCCAGGAGAGGTGTTGGCTGTGGCGGGTTCTGAGGCCTGTCTGGGGCCATCCGCGCCAGAGAATACCCGTCGAAATATGTATACTGGGTTGTCCACACTGTCCTGGATTGTTCTGTCAACTACCACTGGAAGTAGGTTGTTCTGGATGAGGCTACTAGAACCATCAGATCCTTTGAGGTGCGCTGGAACATCCATCTGAACACCGTTTCTAAGAATCAAACGAAACTGCGAGTCCTTTATCGAACATGGAGACCCTGTGTAAGGGTGCATCCCCAGCTACAGCCAGATGACGTGTGATGTTGCTCAGGATTAAAATGAAACTCGAAAACAAGTACATATTGTTTAAATCTACTCACTCACCTTTAATGACCTACTGTTAGGGCTGACATACAACCCTGTTACTGTTCGTGGATTTTTTGTAATTTTGAAATGTAATGTTGATAATGAAGTTAAATTTTGGTAATGTTCCCACCTCGTTTTTCTTCAGGCTAAAAGTTTGTGATTAATCAGGCATGTCCGGGTGTGGGTGATGGTTGTGGGAAGACGGGTGACAGGGTAGGGGGTGTGGGAAGACGGGTGACAGGATGGGGGGTGAGGGGTATGGGAAGACGGGTAACAGCGGGGCTGAGGGGTATGGGAAGACGGGTGACAGGGTGGGGGTGAGAGATGTTGGAAGACGGGTGACAGGGTGGGGGTGAGGGTTTGGGAAGACGGGTGACAGGGTGGGGATGAGGGTTTGGGAAGACGGGTGACAGGGTGGGGGTGAGGGGTTTGGGAAGACGGGTGACAGGGTGGGGTGAGGGGTTTGGGAAGACGGGTAACAGAGCGGGGTGAGGGGTTTGAGAAGACGGGTGACAGGGTTGGGCTGAGGGATGTGGGAAGACGGGTGACAGGGTGGGGATGAGGGTTGTGGGAAGACGGGTGACAGGGTGGGGGGTGGGGGTATGGGAAGACGGGTAACAGAGCAGGGGTGAGGGGTTTGAGAAGACGGGTGACAGGGTTGGGTTGAGGGTTGTGGGGAAGACGGGTGACAGGGTGGGGATGAGGGTTGTGGGAAGACGGGTGACAGGGTGGGGGTGGGGGGTATGGGAAGACAGGTAACAGAGCGGGGGTGAGGGGTATGGGAACACGGGTGACAGGGTGGGGGTGAGGGATGTGGGAAGACGGGTGACAGGGTGGGGGTGAGGGGTTTGGGAAGACGGATGACAGGGTGGGGGGTGAGGGATGTGGGAAGACGGGTGACAGGGGGTGGGGATAAAGGGTTGTGGGAAGATGGGTGACAGGGTGGGGGTGGGGGTTTGGGAAGACGGATGACAGGGCGAGGGATGTGGGAAGACGGGTGACAGGGATGGGGGTGAGGGAGAGACAGGTGACAGGGTGGGGTGAGGGATGTGGGAAGTTGGGTGACAGGGTGGGTGGTGAAAGGTTGTGGGAAGGCGGATGACAGGGTGGGGGTGAGGGATGTGGGAAGACAGGTGACAGGGTGGGGGTGAGGGTTGTGGGAAGACGGGTGACAGGGTGGGGGTGAGAGATGTGGGAAGACAGGTGACAGGGTTGGGGGTGAGGGTTGTGGGAAGACAGGTGACAGGGTGGGGGTGAGGGTTGTGGGAAGGCGGATGACAGGTTGGGGGGTGAGAGAGATGTGGGAAGACAGGTGACAGGGTGGGGGTGAGGGTTGTGGGAAGACAGGTGACAGGGTGGGGTGAGGGTTGTGGGAAGACGGATGACAGGGTAAGGGTGAGGGATGACGGGTGACAGAGGTGAGGTTGAGGTTTTGTGGGAAGACAGGTGACAGGGTGGGGGTGAGGGAAGACGGATGGCAGGGTAGGGGGTGAGGGTTGTGGGGAGGCAGGTGACAGGGTGGGGGGTGATGTTTGTGGGAAGACTGGTGACAGGGATGGTTGCAGGGAAGACGGATGACAGGGTGCAGAAGGGGTGAGGGTGGGATGACAGGTGACAGGGTTGGTTGTGGGAAGACGGTTGACATAGTGGGGGTGAGGAAGACAGGTGACAGGTTAGTGGTAAAAGTTATTGGAACACAGTGACAGGGTAGGGGTGGGCTGAGGAATGTGGGAAAATATAACCGTTTGGGTCACACACAATAATGCATCAGTATGTGATTTGAAAATACATGTATTATACATCAATCGGTTTTACAGCTTTATAGAAAAATGTGTGAAAACTGTAATGTGGTTTCAAGTTTGAGATGTCTGTGTATCGTTCACATTTGGCAATGAAACATTTTAGAATAAAACAATAAAATACGTTCTTTAGTTTCTTCTTGTTTCGTCCTAATGTCAACACACGTCAGATTATGACTGCATGTGCTGGAAGGTAATCACAAGAGTGAGACTTTTCTTGTGTTCGGGTTTTATGATTTTGTGTTTTGTATTTTTCTTTTGTTGTTTTCTTCTTTTTTCTTTTTTTCACAGCACTGTTAAGTAAAGTGGAAGCTAAAGTCACTTTCACACAGGGTTATTACAGTCTACACACACTAGTTAAACGTAGGAGAGGTATTCCAGCCACCTGTCTCCACAAACACATCCAGTCGGAGGAGGCTCAGCCAAAATGAGCTGTGTGTTAAATGAGTGTGTATGTGAGTGACACTGCTTTGAACATGATTCAAGTTATATCCCGATGTGTCACTAGAGAGCTTAATGTGGAAAGTGATGACTGTGGTGAAACCCTACAGCATGGATGTTGTCAGACAGATACTAAACGTTTGGATCGACCCTTAATTCGAACCCGAACATCACTGGATTCTGGTGTGCGCAAGGGACGCAACTTTGAACTGCCAAGTGCAGGTCCTTGGGACTATTACAACTTGCCGTACCCTGTGGTACATTGTGTTTACTTTCATCACTTTGTAAAAAGACAGCAGAGACAGAAACACGTGTAAGGACACCCTCTATATACATGCACAAAGTATGCACGTCAGTGTGCTGCAGCACCGGGGACTTAGACGCCCGTAGTCCAATGCTACATCACTTTGTACAACGACAAAAGATGAAAAACATCCTCTATAACTGGACAGAAAATAATGACGAACATTAATTACAGTTTATATATAAGTAGACACGATATATTTTCTCCTACATATGTGCAGTTCCATTCTTCGTCGTATCTCCCAGCATATACTCTTCCCTGGGTGTTCTTCTGACTCGTTTGTAGGTGTGGAAACCTGTGCAAAATACGACCATAAGACGATTTGGACATTAAACTTTTAGAATTACCATACACTAAACGCCTAGAGAAACGTTACCAAATGACTGAGGTACCTATCTTCAGCTGGCGTTGTGATGCGTGAACGTCCACTTCTTGGTCAGTCTGCGGTGACCCAAGTCGGTCTGAAGCCCTAAATAAGTCTTATAACCGTGATACTGTGGCATCCGAGGGCGTTGGCAACGGCATTGTATGTCGACCCCACCTGCACCATCCCAATGGCTCGTTTCACCTAAATATGAATGCATTTGAGAAAATATTTTTCGTGATTTGCATAAAGCTGTCTTGTTCAACTTTCTTTTAAACTAATACCTTCCAACAAATCTTTGATAATTTTTATGTAATTCATAAAGGCAGGAGGGTAACGTTTCTTTGGCGTTTAGTGTATACAAGACAGCTGAATACTTAGGAGTGGAACGTTTGCCCCGTCATGTGTGATGTTTAGAAATCTGACAACTGACCAGTGCTCCAGAAAATTTTAGCTGTTGTCATTTATATTACTCTCAAGTTATCATCCATATTGGGTACTGATGTTATGCTCAAGATTATTCGACAAAGTTACTAACAGTAATTTCTATAAGAACAACCTTTCAAAGTGGTGGCAGACTAAGCAGCGCCCATGTTTTGAGGCTTAGATTTTAGACATTCATATCGCGCCACTTCCAGGCTATATATCTGTTCAAAGTGCACAACCTGATCATTATTACCCCGGATAGCCCAAGCTGCTAGGCTCTAGAAGGTTAATAGTCACATTCTGCTGGGTGAACAGAAGCACTTTTGAACAAACTCACTTGCCAAGGTGAGACCACATGTATCACATGTGTGCTTCGTTGCAGGGCAGGACTGAATTCGAAGTCCCAGAAGCTCTGAGTAGTCAAGCTGTCACACACGGTCACCCATCCAAGATCTCTCTGTGCTCAACGTTGTATTGTAGAATTCGGTCCAGATCTGGTTCTGGTAATCAAGGAGTCTAATAACACTGCAATGAAGGCGTCGATATTTCCATATAACTATGCTAACATTTCATATCTCAGTGCCTAATAATGACATATACTATCGGAAAAGTACCACACTTCATGTAAAAGTGGTGTAAAATGTTGTTATTAATATAATGGTTGGTCATTCGTCTGATCAATATTTTATTACAACAAATTCTGTGACAACTTCAACCAAAGGCTTGTCCAACTCTGCATGCGTTACAAGCTTGGTTCTGATCCTGTTATAGACTTCCTATCATCTGATCCCAGAGATGTTTTATTGGGGACACGTCTTGAGAAGCGGCCAGCCATGGCAGTACAACAGAGCCATGGCGCTTTAAATGTTCGCTACAATACATGCAGCGTGTGGGCGTGCAGTGTTCGACAGCAATGTGATGTTACGAACATGGCTTTGGTGCTGACAAACGTATATAGTGAACTGGGCTTCAAACCATCATAGGTTCCTGACGTGCCCAAGGGACGCAACTCTGCAGGCGGAATTGGCCACCCGGGTAACCCGACGTCTTTCTGAAAACCTGTCGACCTTTGCAGGGCCATCAGAGCTGCCCAGATGAACCTGACTGGACTCACCTGTAGACGGTATACTGTTCAGCCTTGTCAGGTGTTGTCTTCCACACCAAACTGGACGTGCCTGACGGAGACGAAGGAGAAAGGTTATTTATATTGTTGGGTGTCGGGGTTGGATGTTGTGATCCCTCAATCTGTTGCATGCGGTTCTGCCATTCGTTGGTCCTAACCAGAAACTGTACGCCCTCTTAATGTGGCAGATTCCGTACATGCACAAACAAGAAACCGGTTGTCACAGGTTCTGGCAGATGATGCTCTACAGAACATAACATTTCCAAATTGATAATACTGTGTTTCGATGAACATTAAAATGCCTGTCCAGGGCGCCGATCCACAAAAAAGTTCGTAGAGCTACGACATTCGTAAGCCTATGATAAACAATAGAGTTACGACAGGTCGTATTAACATTACGAACAGCTTTGTGGATCAGGACCCTATACGTTCAGTGTCAAGGGCGGCGGGTAGCCCAGTGACCATATAGCTTTAGCTCGTCACGCCGAAGCTCCGTGTTCGATTCCCCAAATGGGTACAATGTGTGAAACATATTCCGGGCGTCCCCGGCCGTGATATTGCTTGAATATTGCTAAAAGCCGCGTAAAACCCAACTCATGATCAGTGCCATTCCAAATTACTGCATACCCATTTTGGCTGGTCGACTTCAGCACCCCATACTGGTGGTAAGAGGCGGTGACCGACAGGATACGGTGGTCAACCTCGCTGCCATGGATGCTGCATGTCACTGTGTCCAGATGATGCTCAGAATGATACTCAGGGAACCACTATGTTGTTTTGATTTGAGGAAAACTTAAGTTATTTAAAACTGACTTAAGTTGGTTTGATGAATACGACACCTCAGGACGTCAGTTACCGGAAGTTGTCCGATTCCCGTCTCGATTATTACAGACCGAATCATGTAGCTGGAATAATGTGTCTAACAACAATCAGACAAAATTCTGGTCAACCGTCCTCAGTCATCAGACTACGCAAAGACGTATCTTTGGACTACGTAATATTGATCAGGGACAGGTAGAGAGCTCGATTATAAATGCGTGACGTCACAACTAAAGCAGTCACAGTATCATGACGTCACGCGATGAAGTTGGATCTGCGTATCACGTGACGCTATTGTCTGTCTGCCTAGATACACAGCTGCATTCAACTCACTCCCGCTGTTTTGTCAGTCTATATATTTCCCCACGATGCCAGGACACTATACAGGTCGTATTTCAGCTCTACAACCAACCTCCTGGGATAAAGGCCATGATAAGAGCTGATAGTTGGGTTAAAATCGGAGACATAGCAGGACGTGAGGAAGGTGAAGAGTTATCTGCCATATCGGCTAAGTTCACGTGGTCGTGGCTGGTGACAACGCATGATGCTCAGGTTCTGTACTGGGATCCTGCGAGAAACAGACAGTGAGTTATTAGCATGAATAATATGCAATTTATTAATTTATTTATCGAATTTCTTATGTGATCAGTTGGGTATACTCTGTCAACTCCGCTCATCAACTGCATGTTGTCCAATTTCATTATAAAGGTTTCTAAATCCTCTTGTTTCGAAATTTACACCATTTGTCCAGGGACTATTGAGTGTTCGAACCATTTCTTTGTCGTTTAACGCCGCACTCAGCACTTCTCCAGCCATTATACCGTAGTCCGTAAACATTCGGGACCGAGACAGTCCAAAATTGACATCGTGAGTATCGATCCACACAGTAGGATATGATGACATGTCAGCAAGATTGAGCCTCTTAAGCGGTGGTTGATGAAGATCATTTCATTAAAAAAAGCAAATGTATCACATAGGCGGGGAGTTGCTGTGGTCTGAGAGATTTTAATAAATGACCATTGGAATTGAAGTGTGTACTTCAGTCAGTCGTGTCGATTATTTTCCCGGCGCCCTGTAGCGCTCTCATGATCGAGGAGTTACCTTGTCATGTATGTTCCCGTCGCAAGAACACGTTAATAAAGCATTAAATTGTTACATTGTTCACACGCCCGAGTACAGAAAGAAATTTGATTTCCTTCCATCTTCTCGTCTTGTTTGTCGGGGACAGGGTAGACTAACAACCAGTCTCTGAAATGAACATATTTTACAGACAAAACGCTCATGCTAAAAAACCACAATATAATGAAAGAGGCCTGAAAAGGACTTCTTCATTTCAGAGAACTTGAGCTGTGGAAATCTAGATTCGCCACATTTTCTAACTTACGTTGGGCTTATGCTTCAGGGTCTGTATGACATACCAGGGATAACGATGTAATTATCTTTACTTCATCTCTCAAAAGGCAGCTCGACTTTGTCTCATATGATACATAACATTAACTAGTTCAAATCAGGAACCAACGTTCAGTTTTCACACTGATGTAATAATAGGGATACATTTATTCATACGGGCTAAATTCTGATTGGTGTATACTTGAGTTCATCTGTTGCAGGACAAGTCTGAACTTCTTCAGCGGCACAGTGAAGGTCCGGTCGGGTTTGAAACATTCTCTATGCCGAGCTGATATTCGTTCTCAATACCAGTGTCAGCCAGGAGAGGCGTTGGCTGTGGTGGGTTGTGGTGTCAGTCTGGGTTCATGGGAGCTAGTGGGCCCTGCATCGACGCCAGAAAGAACCCTTCTGGATACTGGGTTGCCCCACCTTGTCCTCAATATTTCATGTCAGCTTCAGCTGGAAGCGGGTGGTTTCTGGATCAGGCGACTGAAGCCGTCAATTCTTGGAAACATGCAAGAACATTCATCTGAAGTCTCCATCAACATGGGGGGGCCCAATGTGTACGGTACATCAGCAGCTACAGACAGGTGACATTTGATGGTGCTCGGGATGCTTGCAACGAAATAGATCGTAAATGCTAACTCGAAAACAAATTACATAATTGTTTTAAGAGGTCTACTGACTGACTGTCCGGCTAGGAGTTAGGCTGAATATTTAGGAGACAATGACATGAGTTTTCCACATTGTACTGCAACTTCAGGTACAAAGGCGTTAGCAGCGACCCTGTTCAGGTCGACATGTACCCCTGCTACTGTTCGTGGGATTTATTTATATTTTAAAGAATGGTATGTTATTAATGGGGTTTGGTGGTGATGGTGTTCCCTCATATTTCTCAAGGTTAATGGTTTGTGATCATCAGGCGTGTCTGCAGGTTGGAAACAAAACAATTTGTTTCTGTTGTAATTTGTTTGGGCTCCTTTTGGGATCTAAAATCTCATGGAATAATAGTTGGGTCAAGTGGAGTGTGGGTTGCTGGTGTGATAAATAAATGTTGGGGGAGGGTGTAAGGTGGGAGTGGGAGGGTTGTGTGTTGTTGGGTGATGATAAACGGGTGTGGGGTGAGAGGTGGGGGATGAAGCGGGTGACAGGGTAGGGGGTGAGGGAGGCGGGTGACGGGTTGGGGTGGGAATTAAGACGGATTGTGGTGGGGGGTGAAGGGTGTGGGGATGAGGCTGGTGCCAGGTGGGGGGTGGGTTTTTGGGATGGTTGGTTGGGGTTATGGGAACACGGGTGACAGGGTGGGGGTGTGGGATGATGGGTGACGGGGTGGGAGTGAGGGGCAGCAGGGTCAGGGTTAGGGAAGGCGAGGGTGACAGGTTGGGGGTGTGGGATGATGGGTAACAGGGTGGGGGTGAAGGGGGGTGGGGTTAACAGGGTCGGGGTGAGGGATGATGGGTGACAGGGTAGAGGTGAGGGAAAGCAGGGGGATATGGTGGGAGTGGGGGATGGCCAGGTGACGGGATGGGGGTGGGATGTAGGGTGACAGGGTGGGGTGTGGGATGTGGGTGACAGGATGGGAGTGTGGGATGTGGGTGACTTCGGTTGGGGATGATGGGTAACAGAGATTAGGGAGTGAGGGATGGCCGAGGTAACAGGGTCCGGGGTGAGGGATGGCGGGTGACAGGGTGGGGTGTGGGATGAGAATTTGGTGACAGGGTTGGGGTGTGGGATGGCAGTTGACAAGGGTTAAGGGGATGGCCAGGTAACAGGGTTGGGGGTGAGGGGAAGATGATGAAAGCACAAGGTGGGGGATGAGGGTGAGGGAAGGCAGGGTGACAGAGGTGGGAGTCGGGTGACAGGGTGGGGGTGTGGTATGATGGGTGACAGGGGTTGGGGTGAGGTGAGGGAGGCGGGTGACAGGGTGGGGGGTGTGGGTGACAGGGTGGGGTGTTGGGTGGCCGGGTGACAGGGTGGAGTGTGGGAAGGCGGGTGACAGGGTGAGTGAGGGAGATGACGGGTGACAGGGGTGTGAGAGTGAGGGAAGACAGGTGACAGGGTGGGGGTGGGATGGCGGGTGACAGGGTGGGATGAGGGTGAGGGAGAAGAGGCGGGTGACAGGGTGTGGAGTGGGGATGAAGAGGGGTTCCAGGGTGGGGGTTGAGGGTTTGGGATGACAGGTAACAGGTTGGGGTGAGGGGTGTCACGAAGATGGGTGGCGAGGTGGGGTGAGGGGTTAGGGAAAGGCGGGTGACAGGGTCAGGAGTGGGGAGTTTTGGGAAGACAGGTGATGGAGGTGGGGTTCAGGGGTTTGGGAAGGCGGGTGTGTGAGGTGGGGTGAGGGGTTTGGGAAAGGCGGGTGACAGGGTGGGGTGAAGAGGGTGTAGAGGGTAACAGGGTCGGGTGAGGGATGTGGTGACAGGGTGGGGCTTTGGGATGGTGGGGTGACAGGTGGGAGGTGGGGATGAGGGTGAGGGGGGCAGGGGAAAGGGTGGGAGTTAGGGGATGATGGGGTGTCAGGATGGGGGTGGGATGAAAGGGTGACAGAGTGGGGTGTGGGGTGACAGGATGGGGTGTGAGGGTAACAGGGTTGGGGTGAGGGAAGGCGGGTGACAGGGTGGGGTGTGGGATGATGGGTGACAGGATGGGGAGTGTAGAGGGTAACAGGGTTGGGGTGAGGGAGAGACGGGTGACAGGGTGGGGTGTGGGATGATGGGTGACAGGATGGGGTGAGGAAAGCGGGGGATAGAAGGTGGGAGTGGGGATGTGGGTGACAGGATGGGGAGTGGGATGAAGGGTGACAGGGTGGGGGTGGGATGACTGGGTGACAGGATGGGAGTGTGGGATGGTGGGTAGCCACAGGTTTGGGGATATGGGGTAACAAGTGCGGGGGATGAGGAAAAGGCGGGTGACAGGGTGGGGTGTGGGATGGCTGGGTGGGAGTGTGGGATGCTGAGGTGACAGGGTTGGCATGTTGGGATAGGGTGACAGGGTTAGTAACAGGAGATATGAGTGCGGAGGTGGGGATGGAGGATAACAGAATTGAGTTGAGGTGACAGGGTGGACAGGAGTAGGGTGTGGGATAGCGGGTGGGGTGTGGGGTATGTGTGGGTGAAAAGGTTGGGGTGTGGGATAATGGGTGACAGGGTTGAGTGGTGAGTAACAGAGGGTTAGGGGGGAGAAGATGGGTGACAGGGTGGAATGGGTGACAAGGGGGGTGAGGGGGTAAGGCAGGTGACAGGGTGAGTGAGGGGGTGACAGGGTTGGGGGTGATATGAGAGTAGGGTGACAGGGTTGGGGTGATGGTGACAGGGAAGATGGGTGACAGATGGGTGGGGGGTGACAGGGTTAGGGTGATGGTGAGGGAAGATGGGTGACAGGGTGGGGGTGTTGGGTGACAGGTGACAGGAGGGTGGGGTAGAAGATAACAGGTGACAGGTGTGAGAGTGAGGGAAGGCGGGTGACAGGGGTAGGGGTGGGATGGTGGTGACAGGGTGGGATGAGGGTGAGGGAAAGGCGGGTGACAGGAGGTGTGAGTGGGGATGGCGGGTTCCAGGGTGGGGGTTGAGGGGTTAGGGATGACAGAGTAACAGGTTGGGGTGAGGGGTGTGCGAAGATGGGTGTGAGGTGGGGTGGGGGTTTGGGAGAAGGCGGGTGACAGGGTGGGGTGAGGGTGTCTGCGAAAGGCGGGTGACAGGGTCAGGAGTGGGGTTTTGGGAACCACGGGTGAAGCCCGGGGTGGGGTTCAGGGGGTTTGGGAAGGCGGATGGCGAGGTGGGGTGAGGGTTTGGGAAGGCAGGGTGACAGGGTCAGGAGGTGAGGGTTTTAGGAGAAGGCAGGGGTGGGGTTCAGGGTTTGGGAAGGCGGGTGACGAGGTGGGGTTCAGGGTTTGGGAAGGCGGGTGACAGGGTGAAATTGAGGAGTTTGGGTAGACGGGTGACAGGGTCGGAGAGGGAGTAGTTTCTTTCGAAAGACAAAGGTGAGCAGGGTGGGGTTTGGGAAGGGGTGACAGGGTGTGGGATTTGGGATGGCGGGTAAAAGTGAGGGTGTGGGATGGCTGGCGGGTAAAAGGGAGGGTGTGAGGGGTTTGGGAAGACGGGTGACGAGGTGGCGTGAGGGGGTTGGGAAGAACATAAAAAAAAGTTACAACATGCCGTACAAACAACATGTTTTGTTTCAACATCTATTTATTCAAACAATGAAACGAATTACTTAAAAACAAACGGCAGAAGAGCCACTTTTCACAAAGTGCATGGAAGAATATAGAAACCACCTACCATATTTTAACGAAGGATATAGCCTTTTGAATCATGGATATAGCCTTTTATGACCGTTTGGGTCACCCACAGTAATGTATCAATATGTGATTGTACATATTATATATCCATCAGTTGTACAGCTTTATAGAAAAATATGTGAAAACTGTAATGTACTTTCATGTCTGAGACGTCTGTGTATCGTTCACATTTACCACTGAAACATTTTAGAATAAAATCAGTGAATTATATTCTTTAGTTTCTTCTTATTTCGTCCTAAGGTCAACACACGTCAGGTGCGTGCATGGTGCTGGAAAGTAATCACAGAAATGAGACTTTCCTTACTGAAGGCTTGGTACTTGTTTCTCAGCAATAACATTGTTTTGGGTTTGTGTGTTTTTGTTTTTTGTTTTTTATTATTTTAATGTGTTATGTGTTAAATGAGTGTGTGAGTGAGTGACACTTCTTTGAACATTACTCAAGCTATATCTCGGAATGCCACTGTAGAAAGCTTAAAGTGGGAGGTGATAGTTGTGGAGAAACCCAAGAGCATAGGTTCTGTCAAACATAGATAGTACATATTTGGGCTGGACTAGGATTCGAACCCAAAAATCTTTGGATTCTGGTGTGCGCAAGGGACGCAACTTTGCACAGCCCATTGCAGGGCCTTGGGACGATTGGAACGCCCGTAGCCCTGTGGTTCATTGTGTTTACTTTCATCACTTTGAAAAAAGACAAAAGATACAGACACACGTGTAAGGACACACTCGATATACATGCACAAGTATACACACGTCAGTGTATTGCAGAGCCCTACACGATTGGGACGCCCGTAGTCCAATATGCTACATCACTGTAAAAGGACAAAAGATGAAAGACATTTTTCTGGTCAGTTTTGAAGAAAAATAATGACGAAAATTAATTACCTAATTATAAACATCCATATATAGTATGACCAGAAATTATTGAGAATTTTAGGAATATGTTTAATTGGATTTCTCGTATAAACAACCTTGACCAGCTATCAAGTGCTTGGTTTCATTCAAGAGAGACAACTCAGTTAATCCTTTTTCATTAGTTTGTGAAGAGTTATCCCCCTTTGTTTACTTGCTAGCAGACGACATTTTCAGTGATCATCAGTATGGATGATTTAGAGAAGAGGAAGTTGTTTTAGAGTATTATATCAAGGACATCAGATCAGCTAAAGTGATTTCACGTTGAACAGGCATCCCTTTGTCCACTGTTTATCGTGTTTTGAAAAATATTGCAGATGGATATGGCAATGAGCACCAGGGAGGTGCAGGTAGGCCCAGAAAATTGACTGTCGATGACAGGAGGCGGCTTGGTATTCTTGTTTCTAAAAACAAACGAAAGAGTTTAGAAAACTTAAGGCTTGATATGATTGATAGAGGAACTGTGGCTGTCTGTAAGGAGACAACTAGAACTGAGATACATGCAATGGGTTGGCAGAAAAGTCGAGGAATTCCATCACCGATCATGAAACCTGAACAAAAGGAGCGAAGGTTGAACTGGTGCTTACAGCATAGAAATTTTAACTGGGACAATGTGATTTTCTTAGATAAAAATTTTGTGTGGCTGTTTCCTAATACACTGAAACTCTGGACCAAACAAACTGAAAAAACTTTGTATCAGCGCCCAAAGTACAATCCGAAATTTAACGTGTGGGGTGGCATATCTGTGTTAGGGGCAACGCCCCTCTGTGTATTTGAAGGGAATATGAACAGTGAGCGGTACACAGATATTCTCGAGGGACATTTACTTCCATCTGCTCACGTGTTCTATGGAAAGTTTTGGATTTTCCAGCAGGACAACGACCCAAAACATCATTCAAAGCATTCACAGGCCTGGTTTCGGATCCAAAATATGACATTATTAGATTGGCCAAGCTATAGCCCTGACCTAAATCTAATAGAAAATGTTTGGGGACTTATGAAGGAAAGCGTCAAAAAGAAATATCTGACAAATTTTGCTGAAATGAAAGAAGAGGTGGTCCGATATTGGGACAGCATGGACCACGACTTCCTAACTTCTTTGATCAGTAGTATGCCCCGCCGCATTGAAGCCTGCATTGCTGCCCATGGTGACTTGACAAAATACTAACTGTTCACCTGTCTTTGAATCTGGAGTTATGTTCTGCTAATATTCACATTTAATACGTGAATGAGTGAAAAAAATGAAAAAATTACAATTTTTAAATTCTCAATAATTTCTGGTTGTACTGTAAGTAGACATGATATATTTTCATTTTGATATCAAACACCTAACCAGTGCTCCTGATAATTTAGCTGATTTAACATTCTCTTGAGTTTTTGTACACAAATTAATATTTTTCTCAAAAATAATTCTACTTTCGTGCTGGGCATTATTCACTGCAGCAGATTTTATGCTGTATTCAATCAGTAAGTAAAGATCTCTATGTGTGTGCACAACTTGAAAAGGCTACTTTCAGTAATTACTTAGGCTGAAGGGGTCGGGTCGTTGTCTGCACAGGTACTACAGATATGTACCCCAGGTACGTTTCTGTATACAGACGTGTAGTGCCCTTAACAAAGTCAAACTACAGAAACGTACCCGGTACCCTACACAACGGACGAGTCTATATTCCGCAACCCAATACCGAAACTGTGTGTAGTTATTCCTGTTAAGCCGATTGCGAGTGGTATACGCTGTGCACCGCGAAGTATTCGTTACTGTGTATGCTCTTATATACCGCATTTCAATGCATCTAATACAACAGTGTGACAGTTTCTATCAAGAAAACCGCACAATGCAGAATGGAATCGTCCTAGGGTACGTTTCTGTAATCTGATTATAATTAGGGTACATGTCTGTATACAGAAACTGCACAGCCGACAACGTGCCGGCAACGACCCCTTCAGCATTACGCAGGGTGGTGTACATGTTTTGCAGTGTTTTCTTGTCGAAACATTCAAAACTAACAGGCTAAGAATGATTTGGTTTGCTTTCAGAAATATGTTCAGCTTCGTGCACAGACTTATAGAGCTATGTATGCTCGGCGTTCTTTATTGGTTGAGAAACGTATTACAACATAGTACTCGCCCTGGCAAAGCTCCCACAATGTCCTCTCAGTGGAATAGAAGTGTAGATTTGAAGTAACGTGATCGACATTAGGAGAGATATGCAGCAGAATGAAATACAACAGCTTGTTTGAAACCTCGAGGTAAACGTAAAGCTGAGATCGTTTCGTTATGGGAACTTCTTCTTTGACCTATTGTTTAAAATAAATATTTTTTTCGTGTTTACGGTGAAACTATAATGCATAGTCGAGGTCAGGCGATAACAGAACGTAAGGTTGGGGAACAGGTCAAAATGGCCACACGACAAAATGGCCACACTGACTACCTAAATTGGCGGCTTTTGAAAAATAAAATCATCGTTCATTATATTGGCATTAAGAAACACCCCATATGACTACATTGAATTATGTATTACAATTTTTTCCCCATGTCATGAACAATATTTTTGGCAGGGTTTGAACTTGAACAGACATGTAATAATGGATCACGTCTACAGTGAAATACGCTTGAAATTGTTATTGTGAGTTACTTGCCCTTGAGTAGTTGCGACATGGTGAAACTAGGTGTGTGCGTTTACAAACACCATCTCAAACAATGCTAGTGATATGTTCATGTTTACTATGGCCAGTTATAAGTTGTTTTCTTACTTAAATCTATAACATCCAACAACAGCAAAGTAGAAGGTATTTTGCGACAACCCAAAACGAGGACTGTTTTTACAATATGGTGGACGATTTACCATGTGGGTCGTGTTGCAGTGATTACGCACAGAATTGACTTGTTCTTTCCAAATCTCGGTAAGTCGAAAATATAAAGAAATAATTTGAGAAGATATTTGGCTTGTCGTGAAGTGAAATGAGGTACTTTATGGTCGTGATGGTGTAGTTATCTCAAATAATGCATACATAATCGCGAGTAGGAATTCTCACATCCAATGATCCATGCCCCCACGCTTCAATTATTGAATGAGTTTCAACTTTCAAGTGTTACTGCAAGAGTGTTTTTCAGGTATGTTAGTCTGATGTTGTCGATGTTATTTAGGCTTTTATTTGTTTGTGTGTAAAGGAATTCTTGGTGTCACAATTATATCTGGGTAAACCCCACATGAAATGTATTCTATAATACAGTATCAGGATTATTTCGAGGGTTTAGGTTTGGGCTATTTATACAAAAAACAACAACTTAGGCCTATATTCTTAGGCATAGTATGATTTATAAAATATGGGGGTTACGGGCAGAAATCTTTCCCCTTATCTGAATCTTGGCACGTCGGAGAATAGTACAGATCAGCGCATACATTTGCTATAAACATGTGATATACTAAATTGAAGCATTGTTGTTTTGAGTCCTTTCTCCACGATGAGATGCCAGTGACTTGTTGGTTTTATTTTAAACGCAATGCTCTTCGTTATAAATTCCATGGGGTTTTCTTCCCAGAAGTGTACCACCAAGGTGGTCCCAATTTTAAGTTGCCTCTCTTACTTCCACGACTGTTTCCCAAAAATGATTTAGTTTAGCCACACAGATAATCTACATCTTCTGGGTGAAAACAGATATGTTAGAGACCAAACTAGGGATGCAATTCACTTCCCCAAAACACAACTACTCTGATTCACAGTCTAAAGGCGTAAAGCGTGTTGAAAGAGTTTTGCAAATATAACTTATAAGTAAGTATTGTGAACCTGTTGAAAGAGCAAGTTAGGTGTAAAATGCAGTGTTGCTATTTAGAATGTTTGTTTTGATGCCACAGTTAATAGATAATAATGAACATGTGACGTGACATGGATCAACTAAGTCAGCAAGCCTGACCACCCAGTCCAATTTGAAAACAATCATAGGTAACACAGACCCTCATGTGTTGATATGGTAACATGTTTACTGTGGCTTTGAAGTTGATGCATTGTCTCCCTCTGTAAGCAACAAGATATAACATGTTTAATTTGTTTTCAGGACCTGATTGAAGCCACAATGGATGAAGAAGACTTTATAACAGGAGATCATGTTCTCAATGCCAGCGACGAAGAGGCAAATATTTTTTCTTTCAGTTTCAAACATTGATAACAGTATAGAGTAACAGAAACATTTTTGTAACTCAAACTTTGTACCACAGGAGATTCACCTGGATGAAATTACCTCACAGTCACAATCAGGGGTGGAAATAACCCATTGCCCGACGCCCGAGTCCAGTGTTTTTTTCTGTCGGGCAAGCAAATTTGTATATCACACTGTACCGGTGTCCAGTTGACTTTCCAATATTAATTATGTTGTTTATTTAAAAAATCAACAAGAAAACGGCTTGTATAGTGGAAAAATGATGAGGGCAAGTGATTTTACATGTGCCACTGTACCGGAGTACACTAGCAATTTTAAAGTTATTTCCACCCCTGCCACAGGAGATTCACCTGGATGAAATTACCTCACAGTCACAATGCTTTGCAGGCCATTGTGATATTAATAATTTAATTATTAGGATGCCATCATCAGTTGACATTACTGATCTCACTGCTTCTGATGCTGACTAGCTATAATTTGACACTCAAGGACATTGTTGATACCATGATAAACTAGAACGGTAGTGAAATGATTTTGGATGTTAAATATAATGACAGTGTGTGTCTACTAGCAATTTTATCAATATTTATTTGGCAAGCTGCATCATTTCAAACTTTTATCAGCTCTTGTGACCTGTTTGATTTTGATGGTGACCTGTATTTTATCATAATTATGTCAAAAGACATTCAGGTGAGATTCTCCTTGTAAAGAAATGTAGAGATCTACCATGATGTCTCCTACCACACATTATCATGATTATTATGATATCAGACAGAACTAGTTTTGTTGTAACCAGTGTTGATAAATTTATCCCTTCAAACTTTCACATTTTGGGAATGTCTATGGAGATATGGCATTTATTTTGTGATTGAAAACCAACTAGCAACATGCAAGACTTTAACAAATTGCAGTGTATCCTTGCATAAATCTTGAAACACACATGAATTATATATTTAAACCTTGAACGTTTTTCCACACAACAGGAGGATCATGTTGAAGCTGACCGGAAACATGCCAAGTTGCTGGACTCCATATCAGCTCTGGACGGACAGAGAAGGTGACTCATCACAATGTGCTTCATAGAGAGATAAGCAGGACAGTACACAGGAGATAGCCATTAGATGACACTAACCATCATTCACTAGACATTGTAGAATTGTTTTTTGTAAAGCAGATTTGTCTAAACGATAGTTACATCAGGAGAGCATATGCTGCATGAAATTCTGATGTCTGGTCATGTCTCCATTTGTAATATAGCATGCTGTGACACAGCTATATCAGGGTATGAAACTCCCAAACCTTTCAGCTAGACCACAGGGCTGGTTAGATGTAAAACTTGCCAGCCATGACCAAAACTTACCTGCCCACAAAATATCTTCATATGCATGTCTGCATGTGAATTTGAGAATCTGGCAGTCTGTGTTGAATAAAACACTTCCTGGGTGGTGGTCAGGCAGGCAATGTATTTCCAATTCTGGTATATATTAAAACAAGCACTTATATCATGTTTATAGCATATGGATACGGACATAAAGGTATAACTGAAAAACATAACGGTCAATTGCTGACCATTTACCAAAACAGAGCTTATGGTTTGTTTGCTGTTAAATGATGTTCCTATATTCATGAGGTAAATTATGCAAATGCAATATTTATGTGAAAACTCAATTCCTATGATGTTTGTTGTGTACAAGTGCGTTTGAATGTTTGTTAATACTCAATAAATTTGATCTTACACGTACACACAAAACTGTCAAATCTGAGCTTGGGTGTTACTGGGGATAGATAAAATAAATGAGGTATATTGAGAGGTTCTATTTCAGTCAGTTTTCTTATGGTTTCTCATATTACTGATCAGTTAGAAATAACAAACACGTAAACTAACATTTAAACTTTATTATATTTTTGCACATTAATGGAAAATGGCAAAATACCCAAATGAGTTTGAGTGAGGTAGGTACAATTTATTTGGTTACTCAAAGGAAAATTAGGATACCCAATTGAGATGAAAACTAGCAAGTACATAACTCAATGACCGAAAAACTTATCTGTAGTTCTGTCATACTCCTAGAGGAGGACACTGTTTCCCTACAACTGATCAGGTGTTTGCTTTTCTCCATGAGGTCCAAGCTATCAGAGAGAACAGTTCTCACAGAGGCGGTGTCAGAGTTTGGATTCAGCCAGGCCAAAGGTAACTTCATGATTATAACATCCATACAAGGTTGCAATTCACCATGTCAAGTGGGCAGTCTGGGTCGGATCGGGTTGTCAGGCTCGCTGACTTGGTTGGCATATGTCCTGGTATCCCAATTGCCTAGAGCAATGCTCATAATGTTGACCACTCGTTTGTTTGGTCCAGACTCGATTATTTACAGACTGTTGCCATATAGCTGGAGTATTGCTGAGTGAGACTTTAAACAACAAACCAACCAAACAACGCATTATAGTTTCTCAGTAACCTCTGCTAGTTTAAGACTAAGAGGCAACTTTTGGTAGAATGGTCACTTATGGGACTTGTCTGATGACATATCATCATTTCCAGATGGCATGGATTCCAGCTTGGGTTGAAGCTAAACTCAAAAGCTTTACTCGTCAGGTTAAAGATAAAATGCCCTATCATGTCTGAAATTTGTACTAGCCCTCATGAATTAGTGCTAACCCTCATATTAAGTTCTAATCCCGGTTCTTCTTAGTATCAATCACTGGATTGTTTGGTTTGATTTTTTCCCAATCTTCATCACCATGATTACTGTGAGTGAGTGAAGTATTTGTTTTAATTTTAGAGCAATCTCTAGTGTTTTGAAGTTTCAGTTACATTGGATGTTCCACAGGATATCACAGCAAATGTCAAAGAGGTCTTTGTCACTTGTAGAGCCAGGATCAATGAATCAATATGTCTTTGACATCAGAAATAAGATACACCTGTACTAAAGTCTAGTTTCTGACAATTTTGGCATAAAATGCTCATATTTGACAGTTGAATAAAACTAAATTCACTCACTTTGTACTAGCCAGAGAGAAGTTCAAGAAGCCACACATGTTCATACTGTTGATCACTTGATTGTCTGGTCCAGAATCGATTATTTACAGACTGCCGCCATATAGCTGGAATATTGCTGAGTGCGGGCTTAAAACTGAACTCACTCACTCACTCAAGTAACCCCAGGCTACCTGACATTTGCTTATTTACTCAGTGAAAAGTTGTGGATCAACAGCTCTGAATCTAATGAAAATATTTGACACGGTGGTGATGAATAAGATGATACATTTATGTCAGACATGAAAATCCAAATGAAAGCCATCAATAGCAGTCTTGAAGTTCCTCTTCAGTAGACAATTTAGTCTTATATGAGTTATCTCCCATTAGTGGCTTGTTTACCCCAGTCACTTGTACACAAGACAGCTTCACATGGTTTCAAAGAAGTTGGCTGGTTTGTTGTTTAACGCCAAACTCAGCAATATTCCAGCTACATGGCTTAACGATCTGTAAATGATCAAGTCAGGGCCAGACAATCCTGTGATCAACATCTTGAGCATCAATCTACACAATTGGGGTACAATGACAAGTAACGAAGTCAGCGAAGTCTGACCATCTAAGTCATTCTTAGCGTGTACTGCTTTAGGATACACCAAAGGACAAAGGTTTCTTGGTTACCTTGTTAGGCCTTGAAAGCCAACATTGTATGTATCACACCCTCACAATGTCAGACACAGATCAGGCTGTCAACGGCTGCCTGGCCCAGATTTGATAAAGTATGTGCTGCCATGATATTGCTAGATGTATGTCACAAATACTGACTACTTTCAGCTGAGGGGTGGTGGGTTAACCTAGTGGTTAAAGCGTAGCTTGTTACGCTGAAGACTGGATTGATTCCCCACATGGGCACACAGGCCCTCATGGTTGGTTGATGTTTGTTAAGGAGACATTTACAAATGATGCTTTCTTTTGAGAAGCCATTGCTGGAAAACAATCTTACATTTCTTTCAAGTCAAGCAGTCGATGAAAGTAAAATTCCCAAGAATTTATAAAAATGTGCAGATTTAGCAGTGTTGACCAACCAGAGGGCTTGCTTCAACCACACCCCCGCTTTTGTGCGGATATATTGTCAGCCATTTGTGTCAAGATCGTTCAGTTGAGGGTCAAAATCGGCTTTCAATCGACTTGCAGAAATAGCAATAAAGGATTGGTAGGTGTCATGAGTGATGCTCGATAGGCCAATCATCCATGATTATGTCTACATCCAGTTTTAATCGATTGCATGTGATGTTAGCGTGAAAGCAATCGGCAAAGCAGTCGGTTGGGGTGCACCGAAGTGTCCGGCCTTGTCATAATGTATTGTATTGTGAAGCATTTCGAAGTCGAGGGGTCATCTCAATTTTTTTTTTTTATATATTTTATAAAATCTTAAATCCTCGCAAGAAGATTACGAGGGCCTGTGCATGGGCACAGTGTGTGAAACCCAATTCTGGTGTCCCCTGTCATGATATTGCTGTAATATTGCTAAAAGCGGCGTTAAAACTAAACTCACTCACTTCTAGCTGAGAGGAAGGTGCGCCTACATGAGCTGATCGGCAGCCTACAGAACACAACAAGTCATGGGGAACTAAAGAAGCAACTGCGAAGCTGTCCACAGGCTTAACCAAGGTCGCCCTGTTCCACTGTCTAAGGTCGAGGGAAACAAAGGTCAGTGTGTTCTGCCATGCTCATTTTGATGGCGCAACAAGAAGTCGTTAGTCCAGTTTGAATACATCTACCAGTCAGATTCCTTGTTGATCCAAGCAAGTTGAATGGCATAGTTTGTCAGACATTGTGTTAGGCCAGGTTTTGATTTCATGTATATCTCCTGCTGTGATTTGGCTGCAGTTTGGCAAAAGTATATGAAGTTCTAGTCAGCCCCTTTTAATCCAAAGATTTAGTGAAACTATGGAATATGTATAAGTTTGAGGAGGATAGAGTATTATCATGATGATGTGCCCAAAAGAAATGTGATGGAATCAGTTTGAACCTTAGGGACTGTTCAAAATTTTATGGGTGTGTTTGGGGGTGATGATGATGATTTTAAGGGGGTCACTCATTTTGTTGGGTGGGAGAGGGTGTCATCAATTTTGAACACATGTAAATGGTGGTGGGGTGTGTGTGTGCTGGTCATTGATTTTGTACAAAATTTTTTTGGGGGCTTCATTCACATTATGGGAGTGCGCGTGGGCGAGCTGGCTAAAGCGTCAGGCTAGTGATCCATCGAGCTTGCAGTGTCGGGATCAAGCCACCTGTGACCGGGTGTAAAAACCTTGGAGTCAACTCTTGTGTGCAGACTGTTTGAGTGTTGTCACAACGCCCTAGTGTACAGTACAATGAAAACCTGTGCACTTAAAAGAACCCACGAATCCGTTGGTAGATGACCAGATGGTGGCCACATGAATACATGCAAACACCTAGTCAAGCGGGTACAGCAAAGTGCAGTGTAACTTGGACAAAGTACTGTGAGTGTGACTATGTGTCACAACCCAGCTGTGAATGGGTACCTGGTAAGGATGGGAGAAAGCCGTGAAACTCAATGCTCTAGTGGCTGCAAGAGTTGTATAGGGAGTTGAGATTGATAATCAACGATGTGCCGCTGAGATTGACATCCAAGATCGAGGGAAATACCAGTGCCTTGAGCATGCACTTTTGGTATTTTCAGTCACGTGGATATGTGCACTATATAAATATCATGTAATAATAATAGTAATAAAATAATAACATTGTACATGCTTGTGCCATAAAAATCATTATCACCCCACTAGCCATATATTATGAACGGTCTCTTTAACTTAAGTTGTTGTGGATGCTAGTCTATATGTAGAGTTACTTCCCTTGAAGGGTGATGTTGCTGTTTGGTCAGGAGCCATTTCTAGTTATGCCGTTTGTTTAAGTCTGTGTGAAACTGGGATATTGTTTCTGTGTCATTGGGGTGTCCACTGTCTGCTGAAATCATACACAAAATACAACTTTAATGACAAAAACAAAGTGGGTTTTAAATGGTTTGTTTCTGTGTTGCTGGAACTGCCAGTTTGAAATAATGTTTCACCCTTAAACTGTTCTACTTGGTGTTAGATCACATCCAGGTATCGTCCTGATTATGTTCTTGTCAGCACCATACCCAAATGGCAAATTATATAAAGCTTTGGGGCGTAGGGTAGCCTAGTGGTTCATGCATTCCCTGGTCGCCTAGAAGACAAAGGTTCAATTGCCCACATGAGTACAATATGTGGCCCATTTCTGGTGTCCCCAGCCATGATATTGCTGGAGTATTGCTTAAAGGGCGTGAAAACTAAATACACACAGAAAGATTTCCTCCCATGAAGTTGAATCGCTATGACATTGTTAAAGTGACTCTTTTTCAATATTTTTAAACAGATGTTATTCTTACCAGTACATTGTGTTGATGTTGGAAGCCGTGAGGTTTCAGTTCACCGAGCCTGATTGTAATCTGTTGCAGATCCAGAGAACGACAGCCTCACGAGAAGACCAAGGATGACCTCACCAAGTGGAATTCTGTTGTCGCTGAGAACAGAAAGGTGAGCACCCATCACTGATTCTCTGGGTAGCCTCTGGTGGGGTAGCCTAGTGGTTAAAGCGCCCCGCTTCATCACCGAAGGCCTGGGTTCGATTCCCCACATGGGTACAACGCGGTGAAGCCCATTTCTGGTGTCCCCGCCATGATATTGCTGGAATATTGCTAAAAGCGATGTAAAACACAACTCACTCACTCACTCCAACATGGGTACATGATGAGAAGACTTGTCCTTGCAGTGCTACTACTTAACTGAAGCTAAAATTAAATCTTACTTTGTCAACTTTGTGAAAAAGTACCAGTGAAGGTCCAGGTTAGAATATTAATCTTCAGTAACCCATGCTTGTCATAAGAGGCTTAATTAACGGGATCAGGTGGTCAGACTCACTGACTTGGTTGACACATGTCATCTGTTCCCAAATGTGTAGATCGATGGTCATGCTGTTGATCACTGGATTGTCTGGTCCAGACTCGATTATTTACAGACCGCCGCCATATAGCTGGAAAATTGTGAAGTCGCTGCATAAGACTAAACTCACTCACTCACTCTTAATTTTAAAATGAACTCAGGATCTGTGTCTCAGCTTACTTCTGTTATAAGAAAATCCCACAGCATTGTGGAGTCATTTTACTTAAACCACTGCAGGCACACCAGAATAGAGATAATGCTGTGAGTCACACACTGGTTAACAAGTAACATATTTCATCATCCATTTCAGGCCGAGCAGGTCTCGTTCCCCTGCAACAACCCAGCTTGAAGCTTCAGACTACAGACCAAGTCAAGACCAGATTTAAGGTAGCTACATGAAGATAGTCAGTAGGATCTGGGGAAATGGGTCCGGGGTCATCTTACGTTGCATTAAACTCACCTCACTTCACCGCATGGTCAGTATACTCCTTGGACTCCCTGGAATGATGGACCAACACAATCCATGCAATCCTGATTAAGCTTTGTTGCCTGATATCACATTCCTCTTAGTTTACAGTACATGTAGCTCTGAACATACTGAGGGAAATAAATAAGGCAACACCACTTCATCTCTGTGCTCCTTTATTTATTCTCAGATTTTCACTCGCAATGCAATGCAAAGCTTGTGAAAGAACTTGGAAAAAGAATAAATGAACACTTGTACTTTCATGTGTTTCCTTATTTGTTTTCAGTCAGTATATTATTGGTCTCAACGGTCTCAAGCTCTTCAGGTTAACATGGCTCTATGGGATTCTGTGTCAGAATTTTTATCTCATGATTGCTGTGATTGGGGTTGGAATGTTTAGCATTGTTTAGTGGTCTCACTCTTTTCACCTGATTGTACAACATTGTTTTCATAGTGTCACAATCCATATGGCAAAACAAGGTCTAAAATGAAATTCACTTATTCACTCTCAATTTCATGACTGGAGATTTTTACTCTCTTTGTCCTGCAGAGACAGTCAGATGACTCGGTTTTCTGTGCTGTGGTGTTTGTGTTGTTGTTATTATTTGCATTATTTATGACTGTGCTTTGTTCAGCCCCGCACACCCCCTGAGATCGAGATCGCAGCGCTGCTACAGAAAGACAGTGACAGCGCTTGGCAGCCATGACAAGGAATTAACTCCAGCAGAGGAGCGGGCTCTCAGTGCCATGAGTCTGGAGGAGGTAGTTTATTGTTTCTTGGTTTTGTGCATATGAATATTTGTCACTGCAAATATTTGACAATTCTCTTACACATTTCATATTTAAATGCCTTGCTCAAATACCCACCATCTGGGTAGCTGATGTACAGGTTCCTCTACGGGTGGTGGTGATGTTTCAGGCGAGAGAGAGACGAGCGGAACTACAGAAGTACCGGGCTCTGCTGACATACAAGCAGGCAAGGGCAAAGCGGGAGAAGAAGATCAAGAGTAAAAAGTAAATCAGCTAATTTTTAAACTTATCCTATCTCACGGTATGCACCTCTCTTCTTCTTCTACGACCATGTGTGGAAACATGCTGTAGGCTTAGTTGAATCAAATCTTGCTGGCCTCTGATTCGCCCTGACCTCTGACCCCACTCCGACATCAGCACCTGTCAATCATCTCCGTAAGCGTAATATACAATTTATTATAAAATTTACAATCCTGTAATTGTTTGTTTGTTGTTATAGCAATATTCCAGCTATGTGGCTGGACTAGACAATCCAGTGATCAACAGCATCAGCATTTAACTTATGTTATATTGGGGATTACCCTTTCTTAGTAAAGTACAAATTCTAGTACTTCTTGGGTTGAGTCTCATTCGGGATTTGAACCCACACCCTCAGCACTTAATTGCCAGCACGCAAAGTCAGCCACCTAACCCGCTCAGCTACTAGAATTGTAACTTACAAAGAAAGTGTAATCCCAAATATAACATAAGTTACATTTGACCACTTTCTAAAATGGCATTGTGTAATCATAGCTTGAGCATTGATCTGCACAATTACGGATAATCAAGTCAGCGAGCCTGGCTACCTGATCGTCGTAGAGTCGTCTTATATGACAAGCATGGGTTGCTGAAGACCAGTTCTAACCCCGATCTTCATGGGTCTTTTAATTATTTCCTCTGAATATTTACATACATTATTAGAGCATATGAATACATCTTCATACAGTGATACAGTTGACTCACAAGCATTTACTACCCAGAATAGTGTTAACTTGTAAAGATTCCCACAGTTAGTTTTTCCTACAAAATCTATGGCACCTTCAGACAGGTTGTGTTAGTATCGATCCCTGTTATTATGTCCCTTTCGTTCGTGATCTTAGTGCTTATATGATCATAACTCCCATAATTTAACAGGCGTATCGCTGAGATCACTTCAATCAATAGCTTGGAGCATTCACTTCAATTTGGGGCCTGTTTGAATGATGCGGGCAGCCAACCTTCATATCTAGAATACTGTTGACTGTTTGTTATCACGACATCGGAACATTTGTCATGGGTGTGGAGGTGATGACCTCATGTTAACAAGCTGTTGGTGGTCCACAGATATCACCGTATCCTGAAGAAGGAGAAGTTGAAGCAGGAGAAGGCGCGGATGGAGGAGCTGCAGCGCACTGACCCTGAGGCCTACGTGGAGAAGCTGCAGCAGCTGGACAGGGACAGAGTGCAGGTGGGTGCAGGAACTTGGTGCATGAGGGGCCGGTGTGAAGCATTGAAAGGACAGTTCAGGACAGGTTGCAAGGGGGCATGAAAACAGGGTGAAGGGTTGTCTGTAGACAGAGTGGTGTTGTGTAGACATAGGATTTGGGGTGGGGGTGGAGACTGTGTAGGGTGGAGCCGGAGACAGGGTATGGGGGGAGGGGCATGGGGCAGGGTGTGGCATGGGGTAGGGTGGAGACAGGGTGTGGCATGGGATTGGGTGGATACAGGGTAGAGACAGATGTAGGTTGGAGACAGGGTGTGGCACTGGGTAGGGTGGAGACTGGGGGGTGAGATGGGAAATGAGTGTGTGCTGGGACAGAGACAGGATATGGGATAATGTTCAGACAGAGCAGATGCAGTGTACATGGGTGTTAGATGCAGAATGGCGATTGAGTGAGAGCAAACAGAACAGGCTTCTGTTTGGTAGTGACACAGTGATGATACAGAACAGGCTTCTTAGATGCAGTGACACTGGTGATGATACAGAACAAGCTTCTGCTTGGTAGTGACACTGGTGATGATGAACCAATAAGAATATTTCTTGGCCTTAATGTCATTTCGGTGTTGCAGGAGCGGATGACACTGAAACACAGAGGTGGCAGCAAGTTCGCCCAGAGACAGAAGATATACGGCAAGTATGATGACAGGGTAAGTAGATCAAAGTGATTACCAGGTGCTCCTTTCACAAAGCAACCTTTTCTAAGGTTAACCATAACTCCCATTCTTTAACAATGCACTAAGGTTACCTTAGTGACTTAAGATCACCTTAGTGCTTTGTGAAAGGAGGCCCTGGACATCAACAGAGGTGCTTATAACTTCATGTGTTATGTGAAGTCAGCTGTGTTTTATGTGTCAAAAAAAGTGTTACATTTGCAGATACCATTGGCCATCATCATGATCAAACAATAGATCAAACAACAGATCAAACACAACAGATCAAACAACAGATCAAACAACAGATCAAACAAAGCAGATCATTCAAACAGTAAAATTGATTTTAGGAACTCTGCTGATAAGGTTCGACTACACTGCAAATTTCCATCCCAGTGTGTCTCGTTACAGAGACAATGTGTCATATTTGAGTATAGGTATTGTCTTTGTAATTAAGATTGTTATTAGGTGATATAGCTTTGATGTATGTATTATAAAATTAACAGACAAAAATACTAATGTTTGTCTGGTCCAGACTCGATTATTTATAGACTTTCATATCGCGGAAATATGGATGAGTGTTAAATAACAAACGTAACTGTACAAAAGTCTAGTCAAGTAATTTGAGAAACATTTCTGTAAACTGGGAAAGAATGTTTGGTTGGATCTCACAAGTGCCCTATGATATACTACCCGTGAAGGTCCGGGTTAGAATGTTCATCTTCAGCAACCCATGCTTGTCGTGAAGAGGCTAACTAACGAGATAGGGTTTCAGGCTTGTTGACTTGATCGGTTCCCAATTGCGAGATCGATGCTCATGCTGTTGATCACTGGATTGTCCAGACTTCGATTATTTACAGACCGCTGCCATATAGATGGAATATTGTTGAGTGCGGTGTAAAACTAAACTCACTCTCTCACCCCATGATTTACATTGATTACCTCTTCTCCTTCAGAGTCGAGAAGCTGTACAGAGCATGATACAGATAAACAAAGAGCTGACCAAGAAGACCCAGCTAGAGGAGGATAGCAACAGTGACTCCGAAGGAGGCGTCAGCGTACACAGCGATGAGGAAGGAGAAATGATTGTCAGTGAACTGGGCATGACAAGGGGAGATAACCCTTGGATGACTGCACGACCTAAAGTGTCAGAGTTTCAAAAGCCTGGTACAATTACAAATACCGCTCAGGAAAACATTGTGTCTGAGGGAGAAACCAGTGAAGAGGAGGAACAACAGGATGCTCCAGAGGAAGAGGAGCTGGAGGAAGACCAGGATGTGCAAGAAGAAGATGAGAGTGAAGATAATGATATTAGTAATCTCTCTAAAACAGGGTGTTCAGGTTTGGAATCAAAGAAGAGAAAATCTGAGAGTGAAGGTGAAAAAACAGAAGTCCTAGCTTCAACAAAAAGTAAGAGAAGAAGAAGGAAGAGGAAGAAAGTAGACAAGAGTATTGATGATGCAGTGGGGGAAGACAGTGGGATAGGGGATACCATAGGTTCCATTTTTGGTAATTTGAGTAAGTCACGGTTACAAATTGCAAAAACCTTAGAATCAGATGAAAAAAAATAAGTGGTAAGAAAAAAAAGAAAAAGAAAAATAAGAAAAAGAAGTCTAATCAGGGTGAAACAAATTCTAAGGAGAAGGACAATGAGGAAGATGAAGATGAGGATTTGATGGATCTGTCCCTCAACAGAAAAAAAGACATTAGAGGATATGGAGGGAGGCTTTGAGGAGACTGGAAAACAGAAGGGAAATTCTAAATTGGGGGGAAAGAAGGTGCAAACTGAGAGTGGACCCACAGAAAAGACCAAAACTGAAGATGTGTATGTGGACCCCAAGAAGCTGTTTACCCTGGAGACGAAGCTATCTCACACGGCTGCTGTTGACATCATCACAGACGAAGATGGAGGGATGGACCCAGAAGAGCAGCAGAGGATGACAATTGCTCAGGCATTTGCTGACGATGATGTGGTCGATGAGTTCACGAAGGAGAAGGCCAACATTGTAGACCGAGACCAACCCAAGAGCATTGACCTGACGCTGCCAGGCTGGGGCGAGTGGGGAGGGACGGGACTAAAACCATCCAGGAAGAAGAAGAAGAGGTATGGTATTTTGATTTATTGCTGTTATATCCTGAGATATGTAGTTGATATTGAGTGTTGTACAAGAAAACTCTTCACACCATCAGTGAGCTCCTCAGAGGTACAGATAAGCTGCGTATCTGGGTAAATTACTGTTTAGTCTATTTCGTACAAGTACTCTTGAATTTTGGCAAATACTCAATAAATGTGATCTTACATGCATACACACGAAAAGGTCAAATCTTAGCTTGCGTACCGGTGGATAGATAAAATAACTGAGGTATACTGAGAGGTTCTATTTCAGGACATGAACTTGACAACTTGCAGTATTTCATATTGTTTCTCGTATTACAGATCAAATATAAATAACAAACACTAACATTTACCGGTAAACTTTATTATATTTTTAAAATTAATGGAAAATGGCAAAATACCCAAGTGAGTCTGAGTGAGGTGAGCACAATGTATTTAGTTACTGAAAGGAAAATAAGCATACCCAATTGAGATGAACACAAGCAATGACCCAAAATGTTATCTGTAGCTCTGGCTCCTTGACAGATAATCAGACTGAACAAATAAGTTTGACACTGGTTATCTCCCTTGAGGTGATGACAACCATACAAGGTCGTATGCCTTGGGTGGATTAGTCACTCACTCACTCATTAGTACTTCCTTGAATGAGTAATACACAGCCCTGTCACATATGCCCTAAAACTTCCACAAGCTATATATTGTGCTAGATTGTTGGCAATGTTGAGATCACGATTCTACGCAAAGACTATCAGGCAGAAGGGTTTTCTCTCAGTGACCCCAATTAGATCCCTTCCTGGTCAATAATAAATGAATAACTTACAAAAATAAAGAAAACTTTACAAAACCCCATGGAATGTATCAGAGAAGTTGAGGGGAAGTGGGGTAGCCTAGTGGTTTAAGCATTTGCCTGTCACATTGAAGACCCGGGTTTGATTCCCCACATGGGTACAGTGTGTGAAGCCAATTTCTGGTGTCCCCGCCATGATATTGCTGGAATATTGCTAAAAGCGGCGTAAAACCATACTCACTCTCTCATAATGATTAAGAAATAGACTTTTGCTTCTTCTGCTTTGGACTTGGGACAGCACTTAAAGCAATGATTAGGCTAAACTGCAAAAGTTTTTTTCAGAGGTTTTCAATGAGTGCTTTTCTTATATTTGAACATAAGTAGGTCTTTGAACCCATGCTGATTTGAAGGATATAATCAGTACAAACATAACTTAGGTCATGAACGTACTCATCTGTAGATTTTTACAAACCAACACTTATAGGTGAATAAAAACAGAAAAAAGTCCATTGCAATATGTCTGATCATTTTCATATTATCATTTTCAACTTATAGAATTGTCACAAATAGCCCTCTTCCTATCTTCCTAACATGCTCCAACAATACGTAGCAGTCATGCAGAATTTGCTGTTTTGGGGGTCACAAAATAAAGTGTCAGATGTTTTCTTTTGTCTGAGCTGATTGATGACGGCCACCATGTTTGTGTTCAGATTTACACTGAAGGGTCCTGATGCTGCCCCGAGGAGAGATCGACATCTGGGGAATGTCATCATCAGTGAGAAGCTGGACGACGCCATCGCAAAACATCAGGTACGAGGGGGAGTAGTCTCGGATGAGTCAATACACGGTACCTCCTGCATGTAGGTTTTCTAATAAATTGAAGCATTAGAAAATATGACAGAGATTGTGAGTGATATAACCTGCACTGCAATGGCTGATGGTTCACTCTCGGACATGGTGTCCACAATCCCCACTTTAGCCCTTGCAGCTTCTGTGTGTTGGAATTACCTGGGATTGAGACAAACTTGGCACCTGCTGGATGTCATGTGACTGAAGATGTTTATGATGGAATGTGTCTCAGCCACCTAAGGCAGTTCCCGGACTATGCCTGGATCCGGGATTCTAATCACAAATATATATATATGCAGATTTCAGCAAAGACATACCCATCTCCCATGACATCTGAGATACTGTTTTTACACTTGTGCTCTTGATCTCTGGTTCTTTGCAAGTTAGCCTAGTAGTTTAAGTGTTCACTTGTCACTTCAAAGACCCAGGTTTGATTCCCCACATGAGTACAATGTGTGATTTACTGTGAAGCCCATTTCGTGTGTTTCAACCGTGATATTGCTTGAATATTGCTAAAATTGGCATAAAACTATCTCTCTTTATGAGCTGGGGAGGGGCGGTGGGATAGCCTAGTGGTTAAAGCGTTCGCTCTTCATGCTGAAGACCCAGGTTCGATTCTCCACATGGGTACAATGTCTGAAGCCCATTTTCTGGTGTCCCCCGCCGTGATATTGCTGGAATATTGCTAAAAGCGGTGTAAATCTAAACTCACATGATATAAGATGGAAAATATTGTTGGAGCTTAGCTGAATTAGGTGTAAGATAACACTCACTCACTCACACATCAGTGAACAAAATAAGGAACACTGTGATCAGCAGTATTCCAGCCATATGACGTCAGTCAGTAATTAGCTGAATCCTGATCAGACAATCCACTGACTGTCATCATGAGCATCAATCTACACAGCAGTCATATAATGAGATGTCACTCCACTTCATTCTGTTTGTATCCTATTGTGACAAGGATCTGTTGATGAAGATCAATTTTAGTGAAATCTCCGTATGATGCAGCTGTGATAATAGGGTCTTGAGCATAACACACTGTTTACTCAAACTGAGCGATACCTTGGATTATTGTCAGTCATATATCACTGTGTTGAGGTGAGGTGAAATTGGGTTTAATGTCGTACTTGAGAATATTTCGCTCATATGTGTATGTGCGGCTGCTTGTACTAGCTCAGACTGAAGCTGGTTTTAAAGTGCTAGCCCACTGAGATACCATGCCACAGTGAAGCATGAATACCCCACTCAGACACATTATACTGACTCCGAGCCGACCAGTCCTTGTTGTACCCATTAATGCCGAGCGCCAGGCAGGGACCAACAAGTACCATATTTTAACGTCTTTTGGTATGATGCGGTCGGAGATTCACTGTGTTGAACTGTAATGAAGTGAATGTACAGAAACCTCAGTCCCTGTGCATCCCTTCTTGAGTTTTCATTTTGAACTCGAACTAACAATGTAGGTCCCTTCATCTTCAACACAGTGGCATTTGTCTATTCAAAATCTTTTTCTGGTGACATTTTGAAACACACTCACACACTCTACTTGTAGGTGTCCAGACTTCCATTCCCCTACACCAGCCCTCAACAGTTTGAACAAAGCATCAGAGCACCTGTTGGGAAAAACTGGAACCCAGAAACGGCCTTCCGCAAGATGATCCAACCCAAGGTGCTGACAAAGCTGGGCTCTGTTATCAAGCCCATTGACAAATCGGAGATCTTTGAGAAAGAGAAACACCAGTCTGAAAATACTGAGTCAATGAAGTTTGGCCAAACTGGGAATAAGATGTCAGGCAAAAGGAAAAGGAAAGGAAAATAATTAAAAAATCTAAAGAAAATTGTATATAGTTGAATAAATAAACAAAAAAAGTCCAGTTTATTGTTTTGATTGAATATACTGAATGATTAATAAAGGGAAGACCTGGATTGGTATACCTGTACAAACCGATTGATGATAGTCATTACAAAATGGCACAGTTGTCTGTGGCGCCACAATTCCAAATGCAGAGTTAAGTTATGTAGGTATTCCAGAAGCATGAGTTGATAAAGTTACAAATATCTGAGGCGTGCCAAGGATATTTTTACTGCTATCAACCAGTGTTGATATAATTGATATCAGTAGACACGAGGGTGAGATTCTATTTATCAGGAAAAATCACTCTTCATTAGTTTTCATGTACATCTCTGAACATGGTACTGCTATTAAACTTGCAGTGCAGCGATGCCAATTCATCGCAGGGCTGGATACAGCTTTTGGGGTGGGGTGGTGTGCGACTATTGAGGAAGAGGGGTGGGTGCACACTTCATTTTCACCCATTTTCATGGGTCATTTAATAAACTTTCAGGACAAATTGGGGGTTGGGGGTGTCACCCCTGCAACACACACACCTCTCTCTGGATCCCCTATGCATTGTGATGTCATAGCATTGTGTGTCATGTAATTGATGATGTCAGGACATTGTACAAAATCTACTGTCAAAACGACAGTCGTTTGGTCTCGCACAAGCAATATCTCTAGTAGAACACAGTTTTGGATGATAAATCCAACACTATACCCAAGCTTGTTGGACTCACTCATCAGGCTGGTCAAGTAACAGTGCCAACATCACTAGGGGCTTTTCTCCAGTGTGAGCAGTCACTTCCTGATATGCCTGAAACACATCCTGAACCCATCCATTGCCAAATGAGGGCGGTTGGGTAGCCTAGTGGTTAAAGCGTTAGCTCGTCACGCCAAAGACCCGGGTTCGATTCCCCACATGGGTACAATGTGTGAAGCCCATTTCTGGTGTCCCCGCGCCGTGATATTGCTGGAATATTGCTAAAATCGGTGTAAAACTAAATTCAGCCAGCCATTGCAAAATGAGGATGAGACCTTTAGCAATGTTCACGTTCCCAGATTTAGAAACAATGTAGGGCGGCGGGGTAGTGGTTAAAGCTTATGCTCGTCAGCGGAAGACCTGGGTTCGATTTCCCACATGGGCACAATGTGTGAAGCCCATTTCTGGTGTCCCCTGCCGTGATATTGCTGGAATGTTGCTAAAAGCAGCGTCAAACTAAACTCACTAGAAACAATGTTAAAGTGGCCAAATGGACTGAAGGGCCTTGGCAGGAGTCAATGATCATGGACACCACCAATTTGCACTAAAGTTGTGTAAAAGGCTCTCAATCTGGTTGGATCACAAATCCAGAATGATTTCGGACCACTATTTCTTTAGTACTCTCCTAATCAAGCATTGTGTGTAACAGGCATAAATCTGTCCCACAAGGAAAACACTTGTCGACTTGTAGCACACTGACAACATCCTGTTTACTGAGGCAAGCTGTGTAGTGGGATATGTTATCCGGAGTAAGGTAGCTGGTACTTGACCATATTTAAACAACACCACCTGCCTCACTAGTTTCGAGTACCTGCACAACCTCAGAGTCAAAGGTGTCAGATCAAACAATGATGGAGTGCTCATTCTCTACTTCCTGATACATTCAATTGGATTTATGGTAACATGAATTTTATGGGCACATCAGTGCATGTACACAAGTCAAGTGAGGGTTAGGGGCTAGATTAGACTCTGAGCTAGGTACACTGGTGATCTAGTGGTTCAACTGGTCAGGCTCAAGGACTTCTAGGGGTGGGTATTGCAGAGAATTTTCATAAAGCAATATATTGCGATGCGAAAGCATATATTGAGATATGTATTGCAATATATTGCAAGAAGTTAGTTTTTTTTAAAACAAAAACTACTTATAATCGAGTTAATGCTTGATTTATAAAGCAAAACCACAACAAAATCACTATGCTTGATTAGGCTTAAATAAAAACATTTAATGATGGCATAACAAAAATGTAAATAACGTTTGGCACAAATGAAACATGGAAGGAACGTAAATCGGTTGTATTGCGCAGTCTTAGGGACTTCTTGTGGATTGTTTGTTGCTTAAGGCGCAATCAGCAAATTATTGCAACTTAATGGCGGCGTTCTGTAAATAATAGAGTCTGGACAGGGGCCGATACAGCTTTTTGAGAAAGGTGGGGTGTGTTTGCGTGTGTTCATTTTATCTCGATTTCACGAGAGTTTCAATGGTCATTTGATAAACTTTCATTGCAAAAGGGGGGTGCGCATTCCTTTCCCCCCCGATCCGCCTATGCTGGATCAGACAATCCAGTGAGCATCGCTCTACACAATTGTGATAGGATGACATGTGTCAACCAAGTCAGTGATCGTTGGCAAAGACCAGAGTTCAATTCCCAACATGGGCACAATGTGTGAAGCCCATTTCCGGTGTCCCCCGCCGTGCTATTGCTGGAATATTCCTAAAAGCGGCGTAAAGCTAAACTCACTCACTCACTCACTCCCACATCGAGCTGACACGCTAAAAACATTCTACACTTCGTTACGTTAATCTCACTATAATGACACACTAAACCACTGTGTATAAGGACGATTTGATCTGCACCAGAAATGCTAATACCAGATCCACATCAGGTCATTTACCTGAAAACTGAGACTGCCCTGTTTGTAGGAGTCCCGGTGTGTCCGCACTACAGTTTGCACGATGTTTTCACGTGGCTGAACGTCTATGACCAGAGGCACTTTGGGTTGTCCTTGCACGCTAAGCCGAAATGCCGGGATTCAGTGAAATACTGTGTGTTCAAAGCTGCGTTAAATCCATTACTCTCACTAATGTGTCGCATAAACGTGCAAACTTCCGTCACGATATAAGACGTTCACCTCTCTTGGCGTAAGGGGCGTTGGGGGTAGTCAAGTGGTAAAAGCGTTCGCATCACGCCGAAGACCCCAGCTCGATTCCCCACATGAGTACAAAGAGTGAAGCCGATTTCTGGTGTCCCCCACCGTATAATTGCTGGAATATTTTTAAAAGCGGAGTACAATTTTACTTATTTACTTACTCTCTTGACGTAAACGTTCACACGGACGGGTCAAAGGAAGACATTGCAAGATGGCGTAATTTGGTACCAGATTTTCGCAGCTATCTCAGCAGTACGATCACCGTCAGTCGCAGCCCTGAGATCGTTCCTGACAAGGCCAAGCTGCATTGTAATAAAGACAACAAGCCAGTTGTGTCAATAAATTTATAAAACAACCTAAAATCTGTCCACAAAATAGAAATGCTTGTAGTTATTTGTCGAATCTGCACAGCAAAATGACAAGTGAAAAAAGCTTATGATATTACTTTAAGTGAAAACCCGTCAATATCCCCAAGATATCGATGTTTTAATTCAAAGCGATTGGTCATCCCTTAACGGATGACGTTAATAAATATTGTAAAGTACGTTTATGTGTGCGAAGTCAATGCATGTTTCAGCTGTTTTGCGTGTACCTGGATCAAATAATAATAATTTTGACCTCTTTCACGTTTTTTTTTCATTGTTGGGTTCCTTGCGGTATCCTCTCTTAGCATACGAGTCGAATTCAGTTTCATTGAGTAACCTGCCATGCGACAATGTACATTGCCACTAGCAATGGCCTGTTTCTGCAGCTGACGAATACTGCCCCGATCCTCGAAACGTTCGTAGCACTCCGTCGTTCGTAAGCCCATGACAAACTACACAGTCGTGAACGTCGTAAACACTACGAAGGTTTTGTGGACCGGGACCGACCGCCGCTCCATGAATGTACCAGGATCCGCTGTTACCGGATTCACCCCGATAATGAGGTGAGGTGAAATTGGGTTTAACGTCGTGCTTGAGAATATTTCGCTCATATGACGACGTGCATGCGTGTGTATGTGTATGTGCGGCTGCTTGTACTAGCCCAGACTGAAGCTGGTTTTATAGTGCTAGCCCACTGAGATACCATGCCGCAGTGAAGCATGAATACCCCACTCAGACACATTATACTGACTCTGAGCCGACCAGTCCTTGTTGTACCCATTAATGCCGAGCGCCAGGCAGGGACCAACAAGTACCATATTTTAACGTCTTTTGGTATGACGTGGTCGGGGATCGAACCCGCGACCTTCCGCTCTCCGGACGGACGCTCTAACCACTACACCACGGAGGCGGTCACCCCGATAATGAACCTTGTCTGTCAGTACCATATCCGTGCTTACGTTTCATCAAACGTCTCCCGAATGTGGCACCTTTTGTATAGCTTTCCTCATACATTTACATGAAGCTCTAGGCCCTATAATTGCTGAACAGCTGAATTCGCGACGCTGAATATATATAGAGAGAGACTTGTCATAAAGATACTACAAATTATCTTCGTCCAATCCTATATAGAATCAACAAATATACTAAATCCACCATGCATACATACGTGATTTCTATATTCAACACAACGCGTCTTGTGAAAACCCAGTGATACCCGGGCCGAGTGAAATCACATGGTCGTCATTTAGATCAGGAAATCAAATAGAATCTGCTCTGGTTGTGCTCTCACATCAGCTCGAATGATCTTGGTGTTACGTCACTCGCACAATCATTAAATAGATCTACAGTCACTCGACATAAGTATTCGTCACTGTGCATAATTTCCATAGACTTACATGTTAAGTTGGTGCAGCTAGAAAAATTATCTTGAATTTATTTATCGTTTGATCATAGTCATATTTTGCACACGTGTCATGAATCATCTCAGCTGCAAAGACATAATTTCCGTTTTATTTTCCATTCAGTATTTCAAGAATGACCACACTTTGATTGATGCGTGTCATGGTTATGACATTTTTTAACATGGCGGTCTATGGGGAAAGAATACAGAATGTTGTATATATGTTGGTCATGTAACTACAAAGTGGAAAATACTCGAAGGAATATTTCATGGAAATTATGTATAGATCTGTGGCCAAGATGATTTCCTAACAACCTGCAAAATTTGACAACCAAATAACGTAAACTGAATTAATGAAAATTATTACAGCTACACTAAAATAGCATGCAAGTCTATGAGAAGTTTGTTTGCCTGCTGACGAATACTTATGTCCCATGACTGTAGATCTATATTACTGTGTGAGCTGATAAATATACTTAGAATACTTTTATGAGATACAGACATCATCCATGCTACAGATACTGTTTGGTTGACACAACAGACATTATGCCATAAATTCATAATACAGAAAAATAAATACACCCGCAAAAGTCTCACAATTTTGGAAAAAAAATACTGTCACAAGCCAGAGGAATTCGTATTTTTTAAAAGCTTATTCTGTTTAGCACAGCTTAGGAATTCTTAAATTTAATGCTTCCAAATCCATATATATATAGTACGCCTGTACGTATTAAAACCCGGATCTTCTACTCCACTTTGATATGATAAGCTATTCTTGCGTGTGACTAGTGAGATTGTTCTGATCGATCGAATTCTCTCTCAAAATATCACCGCGAAAAGATCTTATCAACTCTTAGCCCACATGTAAAGTTGACCACACAAGCGCCACAATGACTCACTAATGGTCCCGTAAAAGTTTGTAAGAACTTTTCTGATTGGTTGTCGCTAGCTACATTGTAGTCACGTGATATCAACAGTCTCTGTGGTGGTCGAAACGGGAGTACGGAGGGATCGTGAAAATGAGGAAAAAAAGACTAAAACGATTAAAATGCTAGTTGAAGGTGGAGGTGAGTAAAGTTATTGCGTATTGGTCTCTATCAGATTATGTTTTATGCACAGACATTGCGGAGGTAGCCTGAAAACGGTCATGAGAAATAGGTGAGTCCACGCTTCGGTTCAATGAGCGAGATTATAGTGAAGAGTTACGGGCCTTGATAAGTCTTCTGTTGTGGTTTTGGAGCAAAAATATATTATATGCATAATGTATGATTTCCGATTTATTTTTCATCAATTCTTACTTAGAACAATTTGTTCTAATGTTTTAATTTCTTATCGCAAATGTGACTGTATGGAAGTAGTAGACATTTTACACAGGCCATTTTTAACTTAGTTGGTGACAGCAGAGACCAATTAGATAATAAACTGTGTTTATCATGTATTATCTGGTGACAGCTATCAATTTAAAAATTATTCATTTCTGAAAGAAAAAATTAATTGGAAATTTGTATTTGGTTTGGCCAACACTATTAGCACTTAACCCTTCAGTTACCATTGGTACACAGTAAGACTCATCATTTAAAACCAACAATTTATAAAAGCATTTTGTTGTTTATATAATATTGTATTAAAAATTTTCATACCTGTGCCTGCTCAGCTCCTATTTTTTCACTTAGGTATCATTTGTTATCACAAAGAAAGTATGTATCATGGGCCCAAGGCCTCTTTATTAAATAAATCTGTCTGTCTGTATCTGGTTTGTCGTCAAATGAATGTAGTCAACGTATCTGATTCAAATCTGTTGCTGGTGATGGTGCCATAGATCGACATTAAGACTTTAATGCATGAATTATTAATGGGATGATATAAATCTATATATAAAGATAATGAATGAAATTGGATAAACTCTAATTCTGAAAATCAAGTAAGGTAAAATTGTTTGTTCTTTTTTATGCTGCTGCTTTATATATGCAACATATTAATATACATGTGTAATACATACTTGTAACGTGTGATGACCTCATTACAGAATACATACCATGTTATTAGAAGGATGAATATTTATTGAATTAATGCAGAAAGCGTAATTCTTACAGGTATATCTTGACAGGGAGCTCAACAGGAATATTGAAAGTATGTAATTATCTTTGAAAGACATGAGATTAAGTCCGTTTTATAAGTGCGATATAATGAAAGGTGGTGAAAATATGCCTGGGTCATTACCCCAACAATACCCACTATTATTGTGAAACTTAGGTGTCTGTCCATGACCCTCACAGCTGGTTGGTCAGCTGACCAAATGTTACCCATTGTCAGGCTGTGCAATAAACTGAATGACGTGAAAAATATGGTATGAGAGAAGTCTTGTCCAAGGCAGAAGTAAACACAGACAATTGCAAATGAAACAAGAACTATAACTAGGTCAGCTTGAAATGATGAAGAATAATACCTGTACATTTTTTATGTTTATGTGCAAGAAAGCAAAAAAGATATACAAAATAAATAACAGCATAAAAAGACAAAAACATTCCCCCACAATGGAATTGTTTCTATTTTTCTTTTGCATCAGCAGCTGACTTTTTTCTGGAAAAACAAGCCATAGTAAAGCTTACAGGAAATTTATGCAGTCAGATGGTTGAGTCTATAATTTAGGCTTTGTCTTGATGGAGAATAAACTGGTTTACATGGACTTTGGTAAATGGGACTCGTGGTGACTTACAGTAAATGGTTTGGGAGGGATCATTTTCTAAATTTGTGACTCATGAAAATATTTGTCAATAAAATAATTCCATTATTATCTCTAGGTACAGCAAGGGCTGTGAAAGCATGTTTTGTGATATTGTCCTCTGTTGGAAGTAATCTGATTTTGGTTGCTTCTTTATATTAACTAATCAGTTCATTCATTACAAACTTGAATATAATAAAATGATAACACAACAGTGACAATATTAATCATAATGTAGTGTTGCTATCTCAGGGCTCCAGATAAGGGCCGTATCGAGAATGTTCGGATATAAAATAAGCACGATACGGTAGGAAACAATTTTAAAAACGTAGCAGATACGGACCACAGCAATGGTGTACGGTTTCAGAATCATTTACAGACATATTTATCTGAAAAAGTATTGATTTATTGTTTACTGACCTGTTTACACAAGAGTAGCAATGTTGTGGTGCATATATAAAATGAAACACAAGATTATTGATACGCCATTAAATTCCATTCAGTACTCTAAATGTACTCTTATTGTTTTCCAATACTCCTATAAGGAGTACGTACTCCTGATCATGAAAAATTATCTGGAGCCCTGCTATCTGGATTCGATGTACACATATCTGAAAAATATTCTGTCAGCTATGTCTTTTATGGGAATATTTTGGTAGTATTGTAAAGTCCTAATGTCTACACAATGTAGTGTTGCTATCTGGATTCGATGTACACATATCTGAAAAATATTCTGTCAGCTATGTCTTTTATGGGAATATTTTGGGAGTATTTTACAAAATTGTGGAGTCAAATATGTAGGCATTATGTGAAGAGAAACTTGAAAGTTGTACAGTCCTACTGTCTACACTGTTCAGCAGTCAGCAGAGACAGCTAAAGTACTGTCCACAAACATCTATTGTATGAGTATGTATTTGTTTTGGTCCCACTGCATCCGTAGATAAAACACTGCATTGTACAAGAGTCTGTGCCAATCTTCCAAGTTCCATGCCAGACTGGTAAAATCAATCATGGTTCCAGATGTTGGAGTTGGAGAATCATACATCAGGGATTTCTCTCAGATTCCAAACTAAGTGCCCTTGATTGGAATTGGTGAATTCTAGTTTGCTTTCCCAAACTTACTATTCATTTAAATTAAAAAAATATTTTAACATTTTATTCAATGCAACAATGTAAAAGAAAAATATGCCCCTTCCCTTTATTTGTCCGTGAAATAGCTAGCATCTCTACAAAGTTGTAAGATTCCATTTTAGCTGTATAACATGAATAGGGAAGGTATAAAATTCACTTTGGGAATACTTACTGACATTTTCTGACAAATATCTGCTCTGGGCACGGTAGATAAATCCCGGTTGGTTTCTTGTAAAATACAGAAGCGACATTACGGTACTTACTGATTTGGGCAAGGTTACATGATAGTTGTACCCTCTGTAACATGTCTGTAACATTGATGCTGTCAGCATAAGACATTACTCACTTGTCAGTAATTTGAAAATAAAAGTAAAACCAATTCTGACTGACTGACCGCAGATTCCAAATTTCGATAAATTCTGCAATTTGTACTACACAGTCCACTTAAGAGTCGCATTAGGGAGAGTATGGTTTTATGCCGCTTTTAGCAATATTCCAGCAATATCACAGTGGGGGACACCAGAAATGGGCTTCACACATTGTACCCATGTGGGGAATAGAACCCGGGTCTTCAAAGGTATGACGAGCAAGCGCTTTAACCACTAGGCTACCCCTCCGCATAAGGGAAAATGGGGGGTCCAGTTGTGTGAGGTGCAGTTCATGTTTGTGGACAGTGTCTGGGTTTCAATCATAGATTGTCACAGGTCACTGTCTTTGGTGCGTTGGCGCCATCTTTGTTGGATTCACCAAAGAGACAAATGTCTCTATACATAGTCCAGAACCTTCCCACATTCAACTGACAAGTCAGAGTACCTGTTGAGAATTGAGCTGATAGTTCAAACACTGAGTTATGTAAACTTTGCGAGAAAAATCTCAAAAGATCATTGGCATTATACTGAGACCAAAATCAATTGACACTTATGCTAGGAGCACAAATTATTCTTGTTGACCCCTAAATATTTTGTCACAGACTGGAAAATGGCGTTAACTCTGTCTCACTCACTGTCATGTTAATGTTCCAGGACAAACAAAATATGAATATGGTAGAAAAGAAAATTATGTGCCAACAGCAAGGTCAGGCTGTCTATGTTTGAACTGTTACTCATTACGCCATTCAAACCGTACACCAGCCAATTTTTAAGTTTTTAACTAAATTTGGCCATTTGCCATTCAAAAGAATTCCACCCATGTATATGTCTAGAGAACCATTATAATCAATAGAAAAATAGCCATTTCTAAAGGAAAGCTATTCAAAAACAAATTTCTATTCCAACAGTCATTGCGAGGACTGCCCTATTATCCATGCTGAGTTGATGGCGTGTTCGGAAGCCATTATCCAGCCATGCAGTGTAATTACCTGCATGGGCTGATAGATCTCCAAGGCAAACTGTTTAGCACAATTTATTCTGGCATTGAAACCTACAGTTAGAGTGTATTTTCCATTGTTCATGTCCTGTTTCATTTTCAACAGTCTATGTTCACAGGGTTTCCATCGTTTGATTTATTGCTTGTAAACGCGTCAGAACAGTCACATTGATCTTGCTTGGAACTGTTTGTGGACCCAGGTTTTATTTGTGTTGGAGAGGACTTGTAAACACTGTGGTAGGCTTACTACTCTTACCTCAGCTGAAAACACCATGACTTCTCCATAAATCATTACTTATAAAAGGAATTTTTCATTTTTATGTATTGAATTCAATTGTCAGAGTTATTTTGAAGTAGCATTGTATTGAGCAAATAAATCACTCTGGTATAAGTTTAAAATAAATATATTAAAATTATTATTTTGAGGTTCACTTTATTATGAAAATTCTCTTTTTAGGTTTTATTAATAAGAAAGAAGTATGCATGTAAATTGTGTAACTCATTATTTGATTGTTTCTTGTTCACAGTTGATATTTTGCATTACTATTGGATTGAATTTAAGTGTGGAATACAATTCAGAAAATATATCATATTTTATTAAATATATGAAATTGTGATTGATACCATGGATAAATTTTAGTAACATGGTTGTGGTGTTGTATGAAAATAGTATTGTAGTTAAGAATCTCAGTTATGTTTGTTCCCCTTCAGCCCACACTTTGTGAAAAGTCAGTGTTAAGAAAATGTATTGAACTGGATTTATTTTTTATTTCTATATGTGATAATTCTTTTGACAAAGTGATCATGGATATTTTTAGCACTGAAAAACTATTTAAGAGGACTGAACATGTTGCTGTAGCAAAACCCAAATCCTGAGTTAACTGTTGTGTTTCAGTATTAATAAGTCAAACTGAAGCCTGACTGTTGTAACCATACTCAGGTATTTACATATATTTGAATATATTATGAAGGTTGCTTTTAAATAATTAATTGCAAACTAGGAAATATCAGTATCCACATAATTTGTGTCATCTTAAGTTTCTGATAATTTACAGATATTTGTGTACTGAATTTTAGTCAAGTAATTTTAGAAGTGAGTTATTTTTTAATATGATAAGAAGCAATGATGTTTTTATTATTTATATTCAGGAATCTTTCCAGGAAGCCTTTGGTACTGTGGTGACCAATTCCTTAAGCCTGTGAAATCCTGAATAGCTGCTTGTGACATGTCCAAGTCAAATACCACTATTCCTTGTTTACACTAGGAATGGTAGGGTAGCCTAGTGTAAAACTAAACTCACTTACTCACTGTTTACATCACAGTGATAAACATTTCAGACTTGACTTTGGTCTTTGTGGACACAAAAAGTCGACATCATAAAATAATTAGATTATTGTTAGTGTCTTCTTCATTAGTTTGTCAGACAAATTGATATGTATATAAGTTAAACTTCTTGTTCCTCTTCACAGATCACACACTCCAACATGTGACATCTTACATGTTGCGGGCTCCTCGTATCATGTCCTCCTCACAGTATGGAACTCAGTGCATAGGACACACACTGACAAGTCCTCAAGGATAAGCTGAGCACACCTCACAAGATCTCATCATGGATAAGAAGGCAATTGTGTTCCGTGTCAATGACGGACAAGGCCCTGATCTCCTCCACCAAGTGTTCCTCGAGAAGGGCTGGCTGGAGTATGAGGAGACTTCCCAGGATGAATACGACTGGAATATCTGGTGGAGGACATCCAGATTCAGGGCCTGTGATTACTGAACAGCTGATGCCATGGCAACGGTTGAATCACTATCCCAAGTCCACAGGCATTACGAAGAAGGATTCTTTGGCAAGGAATCTGAAACGTATGAGAGGTGTGTATGGAGCAGGTGTGTTCAATTTTAGTCCGATTGCTTTCAATTTACCCAATGACTACACCAGATATGTAGCAGAGTATAGCAAACTGAAGCAGAATGCTGATCCAAAGACTCTTTTATGGATATGCAAACCTGCTGACTTGTCCCGTGGAAGAGGAATTTTTCTTTTCAGAGAACTGTCTGAATTACAATACGACTACAATGCTGTAGTTCAGAGATACATCCCCAACCCTCTTCTTATATCAGGGTACAAATTTGATATGAGGATTTACGTTGCAGTTCCATCCTTCCATCCATTGTCTGTGTATATATACCAGGAAGGGATTGTCAGATTCAGTACGGAAAAGTTTGATCTCAATAACATCAACAATGTCTTTGAGCATTTAACCAACACTTCTATCAACAAGCACAGCCCGAGTTATAGCACTGACAAAGAGAGGGTGGGACCAGGTTGCAAGTGGACCTTGAATCAACTACGCTACTATTTTCATCAGAACAACATCAAGGACGGGAAGATGTGGAAGAGGATTACCAACATTGTAATTCTAACACTCCTGACACAAGCGCCAATGGTGTCCAAGGTTGACAACTGCTTCGAAATGTATGGTTTTGATATACTTATTGATGAAAACTTAAAACCCTGGCTTCTTGAGGTGAACTTCAGCCCATCTCTGAGCTCAGATTGTCAGGCAGACATCCTTGTGAAGAAGCCATTGCTACATGACCTCATGGACATGATGAACTTTAAAGATTCTGACACTGAGCGTGGCGGTGAAGCGTTTCATCGTCGCCAAAGTAGTAAAAGCCATACAAGTCTCATCTCTGACCGAAATACTTCAGTGAGTAGATTAAGCAGAGGAAGCAGTGTTCACAAGTTTCCTTCACTTCCAAACAGCAGTAGGAAGACTTCCGCAAAAGGTGATCTTGACACCAATGGTGACTACAACAGAAGTTCTGGTTTTATGTGTATGGCTGATGGGGACGAAGAAGCCAGTAGACCAATATTTGGCCTCCCTTTGGTTCAACATTTTGACGATGAAGGGTATCCTTCAGATAATGATGAAAATCTTGATACAAAATCACCTGAGACTTTGAAAAAGGGCAAATCTGATACTAGTCTTCCAAAGAGTTCTTCCAGTGTGTCGGATTCCAGAACAAGAGATGGCAGCACACAAGACCCTAGGTCAGCCAGGTCAGATCATGCTTCAGCCAAGAAATCAGGATACAAGCTACACAAGGTCCACAGTAAAGGTTCCTCTATATCAGACAGTGGAGTGTCCAGCTTTTCTGGATGCAGTGAAAACTCAGACTTAATGTCAAGACAAGGTCGGAACTCAAGAGATAGCATCCCACAATTGTTTCTTCCATCGGATTCCACCTCTGAAACTACAGAGATTCAAAAGAGTCCAACAAGGACAGCATCTCTTCAAAGAAAACCATCTGTGAAAAGGTATGGATATGCATTAAGTGTCAAGAAAAGCAACAGAAGTTCCTTTAAGAGTGTGTCTCAGTTGACGACAGTTACAAAAGTGGGACGTAATGCCTTCATTGGTACAGCGAACAATTTTGATGTTGGAAACCCACCTGAGACAGATGATGCAAGCCAAACAACCACCAGCTCTCCTACGCCCACAAAATTCAGTGTTAGACGTAGAAGGTCACAGATATCTGTTTCAGACACATCTCAAATTCGCAAAAGTGTGACAGTAGGCAGGAATAATGTGCGGTCTCTCAATTCAGGTCCTACATCTACTTCACAGAAACAGTTCAATGGAACAAGAAAGCCAGCCCTTCGCACTGGCAAAAATCATTTTGGCCTGACCAAGCCTCCGTTCCTAAAGGACCAAAGGAGGTTATAGGGGATTTTTACTTAGTGTTTCCTTTCAGTGACGTGACAAGGAAAGCCAGTGCCACCTCTCTGGATGCTCGGTTGATCATTCGTGAGACTCAGAAGCTCCTCAAGGAGTCTTCAGGGAAAGCTGGAGGAGCTGCTAGTGAAGCACCTCAAATATGGGGTCCCTTGAAGAACTTGGATGGTTCTTGATGATGGACTGATGGTGAGTCTTTTTCTTCATGTACAAATGTTGATAGATAACACAATTCCTTGGTTAAAAGTCCCTCCTTTAATCATCTGATCTCTCACGTGGTATCCCATGCTTACACTGTACACTGACACCAAAACAATATGGTGTCCTCTCGCTCACTTCTCGTTATAGTCTCAAACCCATTTACATATATGATTTACTATTTGTAGTTACATCAGCACTATTTTAGCCATATCATAACAAATCAGGGATTTACAGGGCATGAATTCCTGCATCCTATACGCTTAAAAATGGACAATGGACGCAACAAAATTTATTAGCGCGTCCACAGGGACTAACAAAAAGTCCAAATACTTTTTGTACAAATTCCAATCAAGTGACAATAAGTCATCACAGAGTTTGCTACTACCTGGGTTATGGTATTATTTGCAATTTAATTACTGTAACAATGTGAGGATTATGATACACAATATAATAACAATAATAATAATATTTAAGTGTCTAGGACCCCCATTTTGTTGTCCAGGACCCCTGAAAATTAAGAGTATGACTATGAGTCCCAGAGACCCTCAAATACAGGACTCCATGTAGATCCCTGACAAATACAAGCAATACAGTAATAATAGCATGCATATGTAATGAAGAATCTTGGACATAAGAATTTAGGAAATTGACTTATAACTGTAAACAGTGGTGCGCACACTGTGTAAATCTCTCTACTTATGAGTCAAGTCTTGTAAATAGGTCACCTGGACTAGTATCAATATAATAATGAACTAAAATAATGAATGTTTGAGTGGCATTTTAGAAGTTGAGACGTACAGTATAGAACAATTTGTTATCCCAAAACAATTGTTCTATATTAAAATAATGCAGACTATCAGTGACTTCCTTCAGGGCAATAATAAAGGAACATCCCAGATCATCTAGTCGGGGAAAGGCAGTGACCATGGAATATGTATGTTTTATTTTTTAGGAACAAACTTGTAAAAACTGCATTTTTTAACCAATCTCTTTTATGCTGCCATACAATGGCTACTATGGTGTCCCCTCCTGACAAGCGGTAGAGATGCCCTCCACTCAGTCGAACAGCCTCATCAACGCAGAGATGAGTTTTAAAAGGGGACTATTATCAGTGTTATTACACCCAATATCAGCAGACAGTGCAATAAACTGTGACATAGTTAGAGTGGTTATTATAACCAGCTAGATGGTTCTATCCAAAGATGGTTGACATGAGTGTTTGTCTGGACTTCAGTCTAACTTGGCTGGGGTTGCCACATTGTCTGGGCCTAATCCCCTTTAACAGTCTATGCTTACTCACATATCTTAGGATAATTCTATACAAAGGTATGATTATATCCGCGAGGCTTATGTCTGACTCTACATGAGGCAAGCATGGGACAATTTGTATGCAAAGTGTAGTTAATCCGTGGTGGTGTGACACAGCAGTTTCTTATCGGTGTACTTGACAAGTACTTGTCCCTGTGTACAGTGTAAGATGAACAGAATAGGTCTTGATGTATTTTGATTTCTATTGATTGGATGATTACATGGGCTAAAGATGTACTGGAGAATGCTGAAGTCATTACAATGGGGACTTTTTTGGAAAATGTGTGAATAACTTTTACAAAATAGGATATTAGACTGAAAAGAGCATTTCCTTTAGAAATAAATTAAAAACCTAATTTAAAAAATGTTTAAAGCAATTGGGTGTTTGTTTTCTTATATACTGAACAACATAAGTTATGGATCATGAACATTTTTGGGGATATGTTTATGAAATTGTGCGTTCAATCTTACGTATGCAATACAAAAACATGACCCTGGAAATATTCATGGCTTGTTTCTCTGTGTACAGTGAAAGAAGTACAGATTAGGTCTTGATGTAATTTGACATCTGTTGATTTGATGATTACATGGCAATGACTTATAATAGATGCACTGGCGCATGCTAAGATGACAATAAGGATTTTTAGGATTATGCATAAATATCTTTTACAGAAAAGGACATCAGACTGAAAAAAACATTACCTTGTTGTAAAATTATAAAATGTTTGAAGCAATGGGGTGTCTGTTTTCTTATATTCTGAACAAAAGAAGTTATGGATCATGAATATTTAGAGGGATATTTTTGTGATATTGTGCGTTCAGTCTTCACTACACAATACAAAAGCATAACCGTAGAAATATTCATGATCCATGACTTATGTTCTTCAGTATATCCAGTGTATTTTGTGTTGAGAATAAAACAAGCCTTTTGGGCGTCATCTACCCGAAGTTATTAATATATTTTTGCTGTCACTCATTTGTTAGGAATGTCGTGGTTGTATGTCAAGCACTATCAGTAGATCTCTTGAGTTAATGCAGCTGCTATCTTAGGTACTTCAGACTTTTGAACTTGAATTCGTGGGTAAAAGAGTATCTTGTTTTGAATCTATCTTTCTATGTATGCCTTCTCGTGTACTAGAAAGTGATATATCAGGTTAGATGTTTTCCTTTGAAGGGGATAACTAACCATAACACACATTTTTTAGAGTATAGTTCACAGTTCCTTAATGAAACAGTGTTAAAATATGAACACGTCAGTTCAGTGAAAGATAAAATTTAACTAAATCTCATTCATTTTATTATTATAAAAAACATTTTCGTGTGGAGAAAGTAAAGGGGAAATGAGATATTTCACATTTTTGTTTCTGTGGGATCTTTCTCTCCAGACTTGATGGTTGGTTGGTTTGTTGTTGCAGCACTCGACCCGTGAAGATCTGGGTTAGAATGACCCTTCAGTAATCTATGCTTGTCGTAAGAGGCGACTAACGGGATCGGGTGGTCAGGCTCGCTGGCTTGGTTGACACATGTCATCGGTTCCCAATTGCGCAGATTGATGCTCATGCTGTTGATCACTGGATTGTCTAGTCCAGTCTTGATTATTTACTGACCGTCGCAGGAATATAGCTGGAATATTGCTGAGTGCAACTCCCTCACTCACTTCAAAGCTTGTCAATTTTGACAATGTTCAATATTTGTTACGAGGGAGGACAGTCTGACTGCAAAGAAGGAACAGCCAGGTCTACGCGGAGCAGGTGCATAAGTGCCGACAAAGTTAACGTTATTGAATCATTTACCTGTGCTGTCTCCATCCTTTCTCACACACCTGGCTGTTCCTCTTTTTGCACCCCTCCCTCGTAACAAATAGTGAACTGTGTCAAAATGATAAATGATAGTTTTTAGGACATAAACTCTGAAAAAAATCACAGAGTTGGTCTAATGTTTTGATTATGATCAGTGTTTCATTGAGTATTATATGTTTAGTAGTTTTCGAGTTAGATTGCAATTCATCGGTCCGATTTTGAGCCAAACGGACTATAGATAGGAGTAAAAAGATTCAAACTGGGCTCTTACTGGGTATGGCCCGGTATAGCAGGCCATTTCTTCCCCGGTCTAAACTTTCCCCGAGGAGAATCTGGCCTAGGCCAAACTTTCCCCGGGGAGGTTTTGTCCTAGGATATTCTTACCCCGGGGAAAGTTTGAGCTAGGCTAAAGTCTTCCTTTCCCTTTCAAACCCCCCCCCCCAGCCAAACTTTTCCCCCTGTTTAAACTAGGATATTTTGTTCTGTTTTCTATGAAAAGTAGGAAGATTCTGGCCTAGCTAGGCCACTTCTTCCCCACCCTTGTTTTTATATCAAAAGGGGGAGATTCTGGCCTAGCCAGGCTGAGGCTACTTCTTCCCCACCCTTGTTCTTATATCAAAAGGGGGAGATTTTGGCCTAGCCAGGCTGAGGCTACTTCTTCCCCACCCTTGTTCTTATATCAAAAGGGGGAGATTCTGGCCTAGCTAGGCCACTTCTTCCCCATCATTGCTCATATATCAAAACGGGGAGATTCTGGCCTAGCTTGGCTACCTCTTCCCCACCCTTGCATTTATATCAAAATGGGGAGATTCTGGCCTAGCTAGGCCACTTCTTCCCCACCCTTTTTCTCATATCAAAAGGGGGAGATTCTGGCCCAGCAGTAGTTTTGACTTACATTTTGGTACACATTTTTGCCAAATAGTCCATTTTTGCCTCTGACTTGGGTGTAGTGATTTGAATGCATACATGTTTGAACGGCATATATCTCTAAATCCATCCTGCTCCTGCCGCCATTCCTATGAAGACACATTGCATTAGTTCTTCATCTGTCCACCATAAGATGTAAACATTCAATCGCACATTTGAAATAAGATGTAATATACACAGGTACACATTATTCACATATGCTTGCTCTCTTATCATGCTTTTTATTATCTAATATTTGTTGTATTTATGTATAAATGTAATGGAACATTATTCACATAAGCTTGTTTACTAATCCATAATCACTTTGTGTGAATGAAATATGATTCAGATATCCATGGGCCAAGTATACACCTTATCAAACCTTTTCTTTTGAATATAGAATATGGCAATATAGTGGAATGATAGATGATACAGCATTTGATACAGATATTGTGTTGTGTTGTTGTTGTTGTCTTGATGTTTACATCTGCTTCCAACTGTTAAGTTGATGTCGTCGACATGGATGCCATATTTAAAGCCATGAGTGAGGGAATAAAATTTTGAATGGATATGGACATCCAAGTTTAAAACTGGGTTTTTAGTTAAAGTTTCGAAAACAGTAATGATTTTGGCATAAGCCAATTTTGAGTAAGTGGGAATAAGTAAATTATTGAAATATAAAAATAAGTAAATGATAATATAAAACAATAGTAATGATATAATATCTTTGCTTTTATGCTTGCTTTTCTTTTTAATCTCACCTTATAGAAGGGTATTAAAACAAAATGGGAACCATGTACATGTTATATATGAAGATGAAGATGACCTGTAAATTGATAATGGAACTTGACATCAACATGAATATCTTATCAATGTGTTCACGTGAATAGCTAAGTCTTGTTTTTGTTTCTGACTTTTTCAAGACAAACATAAACATGAGAACAAGGTTGGGGATGAAATAGCCAAGCTAGGCCA